AGGAAAGGTCCGGGCAAGGAAAACTTTTGATGGTCCTGAAATTGCCATTTTTGATGGATTTTGAAGCTATTTTATGAGCTAGAAGATTTTTACCTGAGATAAGTCAGAAACGTCCTAGAAATGTACTACAAATTTGCCGTAAATGGTAATTTTAGAACCATCAAAAGTTTTCCTTGCCCGGACCTTTCCTCATTGCAAACATGAGGCAGGAATGATTTCTACATATGTCCTTTCAGATGTCCTAAAATGCGCCACAAAGTCTCCTGAAACATGAACTCTTTGCTGTACTGAAATGTAGCCGTATTGAGTCATTTCAGGTTCATTTCAGGCTACACAAAATTTATCATTTTCCTGCACCACAAATGGCTACGAAAGTGGTAGCAAATCTATCATTTTGGGACACCAGAAAGCCCCGGTTAAGTCTTCGAAAATAAAACAGCTTTGATGGCTTGACCAGGACATTTCAGGTGATCTGAAATCAGCTCATGCCCGTAGTGTGAACACCGTATCACTTTTTACACTCTTGCACTCGACAGAGAGAAATGACGGGAGGATGTTTGTGCAGTGAGGGCTCAATCTGCAGATTCGATGATCTTCAGGTTCGAGAATCGGGGCTTTCCGGACCAAATCCGGGGTTCCATGAGCGACGCGTCATGGGCGACCCTGAACACCGCTGAGCGTGACCTGGAGCCACGAGCTCCTCTGACCTTACCTCTGACGAGTTCTCTCGGGCTCGGGAATTGCAGATGTTGCTAGAGGTTTCTATCCACGGACTTTCAAAAATTTATAAGCTTTGGCAAGCCATTCGCTTTTCGCTTAGAACCATACAGCACATGAGGCCTGCATGAGCTCGCACCGCTGCTGCGTTCTCGGTGAGTGCTACTCTCCGCTTCCTGACCACAAGCGAGATTCTTTGTAAGGGAGTGTTTGTCAACGCAGCTTCATGGTTATGTCCTGTATGAGTTATGCAGGCGGTGCCGGAAAGCTTACGGATCGCTGTGCTCATTCAGTGGGGGTGCGCGCATAGGAGATAGCTCTGTACTTTGGCAGCAGTCGGAGGTGGTGCTTACTGCGGCACGGACCGGCATTGACTCATCCGAGTCCGAGAATACAGGGTTTGTGTTTGGCTGACAGGAATGGCGAAAGTCACGGACGGCGGAGGCACTGCTGTAGGCCGAGACCGACGACGGCTGCACTGCGGCCGCTACCCCGTCGACGTGGGGGCGGTCCCAGCCGGCGGGATCGACAGTAACTGCGCGCTCCGAAATGGGCGTCCAGTACCGGCAGACGCCGTTGTCCCCGTGTTTCCCATGTCTCCTCGCACTCCACCTGGCATCAAATGCATTCCTCCTCAGACCCATGGCGGACCCTTCGACTGATTTTGAGTGGGTGCATGACGTCAACTTGCTGTGGAAAGGGTCGGTGTTCACAGCCGGGGGCGCAGCGCAACGAGGCGGGCGGGTCGGGGGAGGGAATGCTCGAATGTACTGGACACAGCCTTCATGAACTCTCCAGAGGCCCCGGCCGAACGAGGAGTCAAACGGGTTCAGTCCAGAGTCCGACTGCATACTTCTCATCAAAAAATAGTCACGCTTTCGACTGGTCAGGGCGGCTCACGACGCGTGTGTTGGATCTCTCTATAAAGCCCTTGGAGCTTCCAGTGGCTCCCCCCAAAGTGGCCCCAAAACCATACTAGCTTCGGTCTCTTTCGCTGTAGTATATAACCGGACCCCGGCACCCTACCATCCCAACTTTCTTCCTACTACTTACTACCATGCAACCACGACACTTTACACCAGACCAATCTGACGAAGACGGCCGCGGCGCCTCCCCCGCCTCCAGTGCCCGCGCTGCCGCATCACGACGCAGGAGTACGAGAGGTACGTTGTCTCACCGTCTTTTGATCGACGAGTGCTAACCGGTCCTACCTATAGCCTGCGATCAATGCCGCCGAACGAAGAGCAAGTGCGAGAGATCAGACGTGGATAATATCTGCCGCGCATGTGCGGCAATGGGAGTCTGTGAGTATATATGTTGCCTCCTCGTCGTGTGCAAGATTGCTGATCGACGTTTGCCATAGCTTGCACCTATGTTGGTGAGTAGGACCAAGGTGCCACCGACCTTGAACACAATACTGACAAGTGAATGGTATAGGCCCCAGCCACAAGCGAGGCCCACCAAAAGGCTACATCCTTGCCCTCGAACGACGACTACACCAGGTCGAGGCGTTGTTGGGCACAGTCATCAGCGCAGACGACCCTCGTGCGCGCGGCCTCATCCAAGATCTCTCTCGAGACCAACTGGCCGCTCACATAATACGTCGAGTCAAGATTGGACCCTTCGGCCCAAGAGGTCGTCTGCAACAACCGTGAGTACAACCGTGTGTGCGTTGGATGACAAATGGACTGACTCAGCGGTCACAGGTTTGGCTCGACGAAGGAAGATTTCCTTGCTGCCATCATGGCGGGCTCGGGTGACGACTCACCAGGCCGGTATGGAGAAGGTATGCCGTATCTCCGAACATTCCAGAGTCTTCGGACGACTCACATAGCCCCTTCAGAAAACTACGCTCTTGTCAGCCCAGATCGCGACTGGCAGGACCGCCTCCAAGCGCTTTTGCAGCCAGCCACTCGCCAGAACACCATCCCCTATTCTGCACAGGCCCCCGGGCCCTACGCCCTGCCGAGTCTGCGCCAGATCTCGAGCCCTGCGCCTCTGCCACAGCACCAACAGCAGCAGCACCACCAACAGCCACAGCAGCAGCAGGGTCACCCGCTCATGCAGAACGGCCTCCCGGGTCTGTACTCGACGAAGCTCGAGACCGGCAGCCCGGTTGCGAACACAGCGATGCTCGCACCGATCAACCCTTCGTACGGCGCGCACTCACCGCTCTCACACTCGCCCCAGCCGAGCCCGTACCACGCGCAGAACGGCGTTGGCGCGAGCAACGGCGGTGCGAGTGCGCCGCGCCTGAGCTGGGACGGCTTCAACAGCTACCAGCGCATCGGCGGCGGCGGCAGCATTGGCGGCAGCAGCGACGGCGGTGGGGCCGGGCCGGGCAGTGACGACGGCGAGTCCAAGGCTCGGTACGAGCTCGCGCCGAGCGACGGGTTGCAGATGAGCGGCCGCGGCGAGTCCGCGGCGTACCAGCTGCCGCGCGTGCAGGGGAACGCCTCGTCAGTACCTCTCCGAGTCTTGGACCGCACGGGCCACGCTGACGCACACGGCGTGTTGTACAGTGACCCCCAGAGGTGGTATACCACCTACACGAGCCAGCAGGCTGTCGGCTGAATGCATGGCAGCCCGTTCATGCTGATCTGATGCAGCTCGCCGTACTGGTGGTTCAGCGCATCGTCGCCTATGCGCCCGCTTCATGCCTCGACGCCCAGCCCGCTCGGGTGGGCGTCGCTCTGGGATATGTGCTTTTGGAGCAATACCCCCTCATTACGTTGGATCCCCTTCGGTTACAGTGGACCCCCATTATCGTAGCGCCACATCTAGATGGCCCTAATACCCTACCTCCCCTTTATGCAATCATGCTGCTCGCAATAATCCAGACCTTATGCACACTGTATAGTTGCCCATGTACATCTCTGTAGCAATACTCAGCCTGCTAACTCTGTGCCACTACCAGCACACGTAGCGTAGTTTCGATAGAGTTCTTTCGTCGCATGTAGTATCAGACATTTATCACGGGACTGCGGAATGGATGGTGTATCATAAACACACTTCCCTGTGAATGAGTCCGAGGCGCGCCGGCTTGTAATGTACGCGGTGCGGACAAAGTTCGGACTATACACAAAGAGGCACAAAGTCGGCATTAGTCAGCTGCCCGCCAGGGCCGCCGCGGTGTGTGTGCGCACTGACAAACAAGGTTCTTGCAGTGCCCTTGTAGGCCCTTGTGCGCTCCGGGTGCAATACACGAGAGAAATTTGGAACTTTTTTGTCACAAAAAAATGCGAAAACAGCTTGAGAAAATAAGTAAGAAAATGTTGTATTTTTCGCTCGGTATCCGGCAGCCCGGCAACTCGGCAACCCGGCAGCCGAGCCGATTATCGTCTGGGTGCCACCGTCCCTGGGCGCTTTGATAAATGGCCTGGCGGACAATCAGCTCGGCTGCCGGATTGCCGAGTTGCCAGGCTGCCGGATACCGAGGGAAAAAATACGACATTTCCTTTTTTTTTCAAGCTGTTTTTGTATATTCTCTGTGACAAAAAAGTTCCAAATTTCTCTCGTGAATATGAATTACGCACGCAGCCCGGCGAATGTGCGCACGCCCTTCTCGCGATCCCGCCTTCTACGCGATCGGACTGAAGAGCAGCATGTAGAGCGCCAGGGACGACAGCATGACGATGACTGGCGCGGCGGCTGCGGCGCCCACGCCGGACGCCCCCCGCCCCGGCTCGCCCGCACTGCCCACGCCAGCCTGCCGCACGCCTCGCGCGGGCGCATATTGCAGCTCCTCCGATGCGTGCCCGCTGTCCACGGACTCGTCGGAAGACGCGTTCGCCGCTGCCGACGGTGGCGGTGGCGATGAGGGCCGCGGCGCGTTCTCGACGTGGCCCTGCGGCATGCGCTGGCCGCCGGTCGCGGCGGAGATGTCGACGACAGAAGACGCGTCGTCTTGACTCGAGGACGAGTCAGAGACGGTGGGCAGCGGCAGCGGCAGGAGGAATGGGTCCTCCATGGACGACGCAAAGGACGGCCGGCGGGACTCTGACGCCGACGTCGGCGGAGGCCCCACCGCGCCGCTGCCACCGCGGCCGCGCAAGAACATGTCGCGGATGCGCCGCGCAGAGGACGTCGACTCGGCCGAGGAGGACGCGACGCTCCCGTCGCGCTGATATCTGCGCAGCTCGGGCGGCGGGCCCTCGTCCAGGAACGCGACGAGCTCGCGGGCGCTCTGCGAGATGTACGGCTGCGAGCGGTCGCTCGCGGACCCGGGGCTGTGGGGCGAGGGCAGCGACGTTCTGATCCTGGCCCTAAAAGCATCGTTCGTGGCGGCGACGTCCAGGTCCTTGGGTCGCCGTATACGACGCCCGAGTTTACTGAAGGAGATGGGGCTCGCGGGGCCCAATGAAGTTTCGGGAGAAGCAGCGGAGGCGGACTCGTCCCCTTCGGGCGGGCCCTCGTCCAGGAAGTCGATGAGTACCTGCACGTCTTTCGATACAGGAAGCCTCGACGACTCTGGTGACAATTCTAACCGTTTGTGTGTCTCTGGCGCGTTGGCGCCTTCGCGCTTCCCAGCAATCTTGGCTATCCGGTGAGGGAGGCGTACAAATCCCAGAACTCGCTTTGGTGGCACATTGCTCGCGTGCTCTTCGTTCTCATCTTCGAAGTCGTCGGGCGGGCCTTCGTCCAGAAAATCGATGAGCTCTCGGGCGCCGGCAGAAACATAAGGCTTGTTCGACGAGGGACTTGTAGTGGTTGTATTATTGATCTCCTTGATAGCGCTATCATTTGAAAGTCTGCTGGAGATAGTAGACAACGACAGCAAACTAGGATTCGGGTGGATTCTCGCTGGTGTTATGCGCAGCTCGGATCGCTGAGCCGAGTAGGTCGACACGGCCTGCGACCCGCCGCTTGACGTCGAAGAAACAGTGGGCGACCGCAAGTGCGTCAAGCTGGCTTTCGGGGACGAATGTGGGTCTGGAAACGTACGGAAATCCTGTGCGCTTCCGGATGGCGATGGATCTTCGCTACTCAGAGGAACCAGCGCCGTATGACGCGTCAGTAAACTGAGGATGTCAGACGCGAGAGGCCGCCGCTCCGGCTGATGAGCCCAAGTGCGAGTCATCGCTTCCCAGATCTCGTCGTTGAGCCCGTTTCTCTCGATAGCCAGACCCTCTGGGCGAGAGGGCCTGACACCCCGGTTACATATGACGGCAAGCAGCATGGTTTCAGGCGTCGCGGCGAAGGGAGGATTGCCAGTGAATACCTACAGCTAGTCAGCACAAGCCATACCTCTCTGAGAGGCTTCTAAACGAACCTCGTACATCGTCATCCCGAAACTGTAGACGTCGGTTCTCTTGTTCGTAACGCCCTCAGTCATGTGCTCCGGCGACATCCAACGCGCAGTTCCATGCTGGGGAGACGTTCCCTGCCAACGAATTGACGTTGTATGTATCTTGATTTGGGATAGTCCGAAATCAGAGAGGCAAGCCCTTCCGTGTTCGTCGATCAAAATATTAGACTGAGAAACCTCCATCAGTGACGCTCTGACAAAGCAAACAAAAGAACTGCTAGCTTACAGCTTTAATATCGCCATGAACGACCCCATTTGAATGCAAATATTCAAGGCCTAGCGCTGCTTCGTACAACTGAATGAACAGGTCAGCTAGAGCCTCTGGAGGAGATTTGACAGCTTACAAGCTGCAATCGGTTGGCATCCGGGAAGCGTCGCAGATAGTCAACAGCGTCTCCGTGCTGCTTATACGCGCAGAACATGAAGGGTGGATCTGCAATCGAGCAAGCCCCGAAGAACTCGAGGATGTGTGGGTGACGCAATCGCTTCCACACGTCAACTTCTCTCTGAATCGCCTATGGGAGGCACGTTAGGGCGGCCAGAAATCTGTGTACGAGATACTTACAGATGCAGGGACACCTCTATCCATGACCTTTACCGCGACTTTCGTTCCTCTCCAATGTGCCTCGTACACTGATGTGAAGCCCCCCTGGCCGAGCTTCTTGTCGTAGTGAACGATGACGTCGAGCGAAGTGATAACAAAGACGTCGGGAATAATACGTAGCGGGCCGGACCGTCGTTGCAATGCATGCATTCCATTCTCGAGGTAGCGACGCTCCACCGAGTCGGGCAACTTGCCTAAGTACTGGAGACAGGCGCGACGTGAGCGAATCACACTTCCAAAGTCAGACGGCATACCCGGTGCAGACAAACGATTGCTTCCTGCATCTGCTGCTTGTGCACCTCGAGCTCCTAGATGCAGGCCTCAGTTCGCTTCTTTCATGGCAAATGATACAATACTCGCCCCAAGAATTTCCTTGTCGTTACTCAGAAGGCGGTCAAAATTCTGCTTTGCGGCGGCAGCGTCTTCTCGTCTCGCGTCCTCGTTCTCGCGTTGCACTTTACAAATATTGAACGCTATGCCCAGCTACGAATGAACGTGAGTGTACAGCACTTCTAGCAAAACAGATGTGACAATCCATACCTTCAGATATTGCATCGCTTCGAATATATACCTGTACACTTCCTGGATCTTGGACGCTATTTTGATCCCGCCATATTATTCTCTGGAGGAACGAGCTCTTGTGCAATCCTTCAAGCGTAATGGCGAGGTCTAATAGCGCGCTACAGGACCTCGTCAGTCTCAGCCAGCTATCCCGCAGTCCCTGGGACACCCACCTCGTCAACTTCATCATCCTCTTCGCCAACCTCGGCGGCAGCCCCTCCTCGCACTCTGTCTGGACGACATCGAGTATGGAGTTGATATGCAGGCACAGGCGAACGCACTGCTTTCTGTTCTCTTTCACCTTTGCCGCGATCTCGTACAGGCTCTTCACGGCGCCTGCGAGAGCCGAGATGATGGAAAGCGGTTCCACAACCATCGGTGTCTATCTGCAGCGGGAGGATGTGACACGGTCTGACCGTTGTGGCGGCTGTAACATTAGTCAATGCTGTGCGTGAGGGGGGTCGACTGAAACTCGGAATCCAGTACGTACGCTCGAGCTCCCAGGCCTGAGGGAGGCGCAGCTGCTGGGGCGGTACAGCCGTCTTGACGGGATGATAGGGTTCTGGCCCCAGTGGCAGAGCATCTTGCCGTACTTTATCAATCTACCCAAGTGGTAATTGGTTTCCGAGGACAGCGGAGCGATTTAGGAAGGCCGGGCCTCTACGAACGAGGCCGAAAACTGGAAAATTTGACAATGTCTGCAAGCTGGAGGAAAGCGTCCATGATCGCATTCGTTAAGTATAGACAACCAGACTGTAATACAAAATTTCAAGTGAAGCCCTAACGTAAAAGAACCCAGCAGTGACCAGCAGAGCGAATGAATTAAATAGACAATAAAGGACAAAGTAAACCCTCAACCACCTGTGTAGGCTTTCTCCCATAATCCACCAGCGCGTGCATCCCGTGGGGAAAGCGCGACGAGCAGATGCAAGGCGACGCCAGGACCAGTTCTAACCAAAACAACGGCCGCTTGAGCAGAAGATGAAAGAGGGACCAAGAAACTCAAGGAGAGTGAGGAAGGGAGAGAAGATGAAAGGACAGACTCAGCCATGGGCACAGGTGGGCGGAGACAGGCAAGGCGTGGTATGGTATACGAAGGTATAGCGGAACGACGAATACGGGGTAAGCCATCTGGACGAAGAGATGCGGGTGTCAGTATTGAGACTAAGAGCTCCAGACACCTGGCGTACCTTTACGTACACGAATCTAGAACGAGCTGTCAGTAATCGTGGGAAATGGTGGGGATACGTGAGGAAGGACGAGCAGGAGGTGTCCGCAAATGAGCGACAAGGAGGTAAGCGAGGACTACCAACAGATGAGCTTTCTTGTGTACAGCGACGAGTCCGTTCAGAATACAGCAGCGGAAAAGAGCACCAGAAGATGGAAGGAAGACATTAAGGACACGGCATGAAGAGCAGCGTGGCGATGAAAAGGCGTCCGTTTTTCAAGCTGACCGCGCGGGGCGTGAGCGGTCACACATCACTGCTTACTGTTCGGTGGGTAGTGCGCCATGGCTGCGTCCCGATCAAAGCCCAGCGGATAGCTCTGCAGATCGGCGGTCAGCGCGAGCGTGTCCAGGCTTGCGCGCTGTTTGCCTGGATAGCTTGACGGCGATGTCGGCTGCTCTGTGGATTCGGGGCCACTGCCATTGTCGATCTGGAAGGGGAATGATCCGAGGCCGTTCGACGTCGTGGATGACTGCGACACAGTTGACATGCCGAGCAGCTTCCTATTCGGTGGCGACGGTAGGGGAGATTCTGGTGCCGGTTTGGAAGGGCTCACGCTCCCGCCCGTAAACGGCTGCTGCGCAAGAGGGGAGCGTGGCGGTGTGCGGGCAGGCCTATCAGAAATAGGTGATGGGGGAACAAATGGGAAACCCTCAAGGATGGAGTCAGCACGTGTGGAAGTCGAGCTCACAACCGATGCCCTCCTTGAAACTTCCATCTCTTCGATAGCCTGACGCTGCTGTCGCTCAAACACACCCGTCGGCAGTGACGGCGTTGTGTCGCCTGAGCTCATGGGCGACACGATCTTCGCGCTCGTCATCCGGTATTGCGATCGTGCGGTACTCAACGGCGCACTGACGGGCGTGAGAGGGAAATCAGACGAGGCGGGAACAACCAACGTATGGGAAGCAACGCGGTTGGGAGTAACCTGATCAAGACCGAGATGGACGCGGGATGCGTTACTGATGGTCGCCCCAATAATAGAACCAGCCTGGGTATTGACACTTGTTGGTCGCGGCTCCTTGGATTTCTTCCACGCTGCCCTGGGTCCCCGAGAGTCCCTGTGCTGGTCGCTGTAGGCGAAAATCGCAGACGTAGAAGTGGGTGACGTTCCGCCAGTAACTGTAGGGGTTGTGCTTGTGTATGGTGAATGCTCGTCTCCAAATGGATCCCCACGAGTGGTGACACCCTGCTCTTCGTATTCTTGCTCCTCTGTCATGGACTCCAAAGGACCAAAGCTCGATCCGGCAAGCGGTGAGCGAACCGGCGGGCGGCTGCTGGCAACGCTGAGCGAACCCGAGGACTTGTTGGCCTCCGAATTCGAATATACAGATCCCGGTGGTGTATGGATGACTTCAGCTTTCATGACGCCGAGAACCTGTTTCACAGCACCCTGCGACGGGGTAACTATCACTGGCGCCTCGTTCAGAAGATCACTGGCGAAACTGCCGGTGGTCATGAACGAGTTACGGATGCCGGACACCGTAGACTTCGCGTACTGCTTGCCCGTTCCGCTCGGAACATCTGCGTGATCGTAGTCTAGAGAGACGTCCGCTGTGCGCTCTGGGCGCATAGGGCCCGGCGCACCATTTACTGGGGTGTTGGAACGCAGAGAGACCGAGCCTGGCGGTACAAGAGCGATGGGTATGACGTTCGACTGTGTGCCAGTCGACGCACTCTGGATAGAGTGGGAGTCGGTAAAGGGGTTCGACTGTGTCGACATCCGCACTGGGGTGTGTCCATTGGTGGCGGCTACGGAGTCTCCATGAGACTCGGGATCAAGATTGATGGTCATGTTTGAGGCACCGCCATATATCCTGACCGTATGCATTTCCTGTGCCTCCGGCACAGTAGGCTTCTCGTTCGGGTCCGGTCGGTTAAGGACGTCCTCTGCGCGAGCGGGGGTGTCCGGCTTAGCATCCGCGGCGAGTGCAGTGGCACGCCTCTGACGTTGACGCTTCCGGTACCAGAGAAACGCGAGGATAACAGCGGCGAAGAAGACCACTGAGGCAATGACCGCACCTGCAACGGCGCCCCCACTGACACCACCACCGGAAGAGGAAGAACTGGAGCCGTTTTGAGGGACACATTGGTTGACCGGGCAAGCGTTACAGCTCCTGCAAGTGGAACGGTCAGCCTGGACGCGACAGCGGGGCACTCACCGGGCGTGGGACGCACCTTCCGATGGATGTACACTTCTCATCTGGTGCGCACGAACAGGGAGGGACTACATCGGGGCAGGGGACACAGTCTCTTTCGAAGAGCATGAGATCTGGAACCATGGTGACGGTGGACTGGGTACGAGAGTGAAGGAGCGACTGAGTTCAAGTTCCGGAAGAAATGACGTGAACAAGGTAGAGAATACGCCCTGCGATGACCAGCACGGCCAGAACGACGATGAGGGGAGCGAGTAGATCAACGTCGTTGCCGTCGAAGTGGTTTAGAAACAACCAGGGCGGGCTAATATCTAATCGCGTTTATTTTTTGCCAATAAGTCAAAGCGCTTGTTATAGGCGTCTCTTCGGAGAGTCCAGGCCCCGAGGGCGCGAAGGCACGAATAGGCCTGTTGCGGCAAGATGTGCGGCAGGAATAAGGATCGGCGACACATGAAAAGGGTCACAGTTTATCCCATCGCCACGTTACGAAAATATGTCATACGAGCGGTTTAGATCTACAGTTGAATGCGGCGGCAACATGCAAGTTGAGTGCAGGGTATCCAGACATTGTGGTTACAGTACTAGTATTTGCTACAATGGGGTTGAGCTCATGAACTGCGCCAGTGTTGAACATGACATGCACGAGAGATAGAGATGATTGTTAGACGAGCTGTCAGTGGCTGTAGTCATACCTGTGTGCAAAGGGTCAGTCATCCCCCACATACCAGGATAAATAACGTACTTTTTATAGAAAGCCTCCGAGCTCTCCGGTACCTGCGAAGCAAGCTGTCAGACAGAGGCACACAAAGATATCAAAAGAGTTCACCTCTTCCTTTCTAGGCCCCCTCACTTTCTTACCACTCCTCTCGAGCTCCTTGCGGAACTCGCGATCCTCCTTTAGCCACTGCAAAGCGACGTTGTATAGTAGAGTGTTTGGTCCGGCAGCATCGACCGTTGGGAATGGCCAAGGAGTGGGTAGTGTAAGGAACGACCCAAAGCGCATGTGCGCAACATGAGTGGGAAAATCATTCAGGCCATCGAAGATATGCGTGGCATCTATCGTATACGTCAGTTGGGACACACTGCATTAATCACCGTCACGTACAGAGTATCGTTGCTCCGCGCTCTATGCTGTCCTGCTTTAGAAACCTGAGCAGATCGTCTCTCACGAGTACGTCGAGGTCAACAGTGACCTGGCTGTGGTCAGCGGAATAGCATCTAAGTGACGAAGGGAATTACCTCGTCTAGCAGTAGCACGTCCCACTCGCCCATGAGACCCATAACAAGCTGAACTCGCCGCCGTTCACCATCGCTGATGGCATGCATGTGCCAGTCCAGGTCGACATCCAAAATCTCGAGAAGCAGATCTCGTCTTGCCTTGTGGCGGTAGCCTCCAACAGAGTTGAGGAAGTCTTCGACCTTGATATCGCCTCGAACAACCGGGTTCATAGCCCTGTTAAGATTGAAGAAGAATGTCACAGATGTCCAAGGCAGAGCACCACAGATTCATACGCACCACTCAGTGCCCAAGAAAGTCACACCCTGGGGGTACTGCCGAAATACGTCGCGGTCCTTGATCTTCACTTCCGTGCCTTGTCGCGAGATGAGGCGCTTTCCAGCCAAGATCTGAAGCAGAGTCGACTTTCCAGCTTTGAAATCTCTTAATACGCATGCTGGCATGACGAGTGAATTGACGCACCCCCATTTGCCCCGATTAAAATTGTCCGCGAGCCCTTCGGCAGTTCCAGACAGACATCTACAAGCGACGGCTCGACGTTGGGGTCGGATGGCGCAAATGAGAAGGTCAGGTTGCTGACGTGGATCTCATGCAGCGTGTCCTTTTGTGAAGACATATCCGAAGCGTGAACTTGTAGTCGCAAGACGAATGGCACCGAGCCGTTCGGTGCAAACGAGATGTCGATCTGGGCGTTTATGCGTGCAATGGAGTTTCAGGGAGGAGAGAAGTTGTCTTCCAGCTCCTGTTCAGTCACCATTATATACCTTGGTCAGATTTATCTGAGTCATAGCCCGTCCCGCACTACCGGTTACCATGAGGACACACAAAGTACGAAATGGCGTTCGTTATTGAGGCGAGCTCCGCCCCCAGAAGAGGCAATAGCCATCAATTTTGATCGCCGAACATACTGTGTCGATTTTGAGCTTTGCCAATCCTGCTTGTTCACGCTCGTAGACGACTACAGCGACCTGGCCTCGTCGCACTCCAGTCTCACTTGTTTCTCTTCCTCTGTGCCAGGGCGATACCATGGCAGACAAGGAGGTCATAGATCTAACCACCGACGATCGCGAGATCATAATAGTGGAGTCCGGGGATGAGTCTCACGAACGGCCGACGAAACGCGCCAGGAAGTCCCCGCTCGGTCCAACTAGCAGAGGTGACACACAGGAGATGATGAATGTCTCAGTGAATACTGGTGCTGGTGCTGAAGACAGGACGAAGAAGTTTCGCAGGCCAGGGAAGAAGAAACGCAAGAAAGTAACAGTGGTTGGGGATGAGGACGGAGAAATTATTGAGCTCGAGGCGGCAGAGGACTCGGGAGCAGTGTCGAGAGATGATTCGAGAGAGCAGACTGATGCAGAAGGGCAGAGCAGGGACGCGCCAGAAAGGGCGAGCAAGACGAGGGCGAAAGATTCGGTAATACGGAGTCTGCTTGACAGACTTGCGGACGCAGAAGACATACCTACTGTGTACGCGGGGGACAGCTTGCATAGGCTGGACTCCGACTCAAGGGAGAGGAAGAAGAGGAAGAAGAAACGAAAACGCCGAGACTCCGACCGAGAACGTACCACCACGGCTTCCACCACAAACCCAGACTCTGCAGCCAAGAACGCAGGAGACAAGTCCTTGGACTCTGATCTCTTCTTTATAGATGAAACCCCTGCTGTTATTTCCGCAGACGCGAAGCTGTCTAATTTGATTGTCACATCTCCATCTACGCCCGCCACCTCAAATGTCACGGAGAAGGCGGACGAGGGCGGAATACCCCTGCTGCTCCCGGTTCATGTTTCTGTATCCGCTGGAGATCATGCCGATGAATCTCTACAGCTAATTTTACCCCCTTCCCCGGACTCTGAGGATGAGGCCTACATCGAATACCTTGATTACGATGACGATCGACGGGTGTGTGTATATCATCTCTCGCTCTCTGTGTCAGTTCTAATTACCTCCCATTTTAGGCTCCTGGTGTTGCTAGGTACTTTGACGACCCTGCCGATGGTACTGAACCAAAGACCGCCAAGATTGTCTGCAAGAAGTGTGGAGCGGAAGGCGACCACAAGACATGGAATTGTCCTGTCATCATCGTCAGTTTTGTTTTTACGTCATCTCACTGCCTTGTCCTGCTTACAATCAAATAATATCCCTTCACTTTTCAGTGTCTGACATGCGGAGTTCGGAACGAACATGGGACTCGGAGCTGCCCAATTAGTAAAGTGTGCTTTACTTGCGGCATGAAAGGACACATTAATAGGGTATGTATATTGTTTCTTAGGTGTGTCTCATTGTCAAATATGTCCTACCAGGATTGTCCAAATCGCTACGCTGGTCGTGCGCGAATGGGCGGCAGCAATTTCGACGATTGCGATCGCTGTGGTTCGTCGCTCCATCAAATCAACGTACGTATGTATCTCATAAACAACTACACCGATTTTAAACGCTGGCCCAGGAATGTCCGACATTATGGCGCATATACACCTATGTCGAGGAACCGGAGCGGCTAGAGATCCTCGCTGCGCGTGAACAGAAGCGAGAACTCGAGATCGGTGAAGGTGGCGAGGGCTACATTGGTCCGGAAGATTGGTGCTATGACTGCGGCGAATGTGGCCACTTGGGTGATGTGAATTTTCTTGCAGTTCGGTGTTGTAGACTCCTGCTAATGGTGATACAGGACTGCAAAACAAGATCTCACCATCACGACCGCCCCTCCGACCCGTCAGCGTTCGGTACGTATAACATAAACACGGGGCCCTTCGCGGACGCGAAGAACCCGCAACAACGAAAACCGGGAAAAGCTGCGTCGTATGCTGCTCGAATGAACGACGCGTGGGGCGACGGCTACGGCCACGTGCTGCCTCTGGACGTCGGAAAGCAGGGACGGAAGAAGGAGAGGGCACGCATGGAGCGCCGCGCCCAGGAAGTGCAAGCAGACGATGCAGACGATTGGTTCGCAAAGCGCAGAGGAGGCAATAGTCGTGAGAAGGGCGGCGGAAGCGGTGGCGGCGGATCCAAGGGCTCCAGGAACGGCCGAATTAACTCGAAAATCTCCTTCAGCGATTTTGATAGGGATGGCGACCGTTTTGGCGGACGCGACCGAAGGGACGGCGGGCGACCCCGGCTCGATGACCTCCCTGGACCTTCGCGCGAGTCGGACTCGATAAAGATCCGGGGCGCGTCAAGGAGAGATAAGGAACGAGAGCGACGAGACAGGGACGACGAGTGGGACGGCAGCATACGAGGTGCGGCGCGCAGGCAGAGTGAGCACGAGTACGACCATCGGAGGAATGAGCGGCCAAGGGATGATCGCGACCGGTATGGGGAGCGTGATCGAAGGAGGGAGCGTGACCGCAGGGAGGCCAGCCCCCGCCGAGAACCCAGGTACCGAGGCGGCTACGCTCGATAGCACTTACCTTGAGTCGTTGCCAACACCGTTTGTATTATGTTTCCCCGTCTCCTGCCGTAATTCGCAGCCGTCCTATTTGGCGTCGCGGGACGGCTTCAAAAGCATTTGTTCAATTCCTGTCGTTGCATTGGATACTACACATACAACGTCTGCCAGCTGGGCGAAGCGGATGCGCCGCCCGCTCGGACTCTGTTTACAGGACTTTCCCGCTGTCTTCGAGATCGTAGACCCTTACGGCGGCATTGAAGGCGATACTTACGAGTTACTATGATGGCCCCTTGGTTTATAAAGGCTCCTTGCTTTATAAAATTGATCTTGCTGCTGCGATATGCCCCTGGAGGTGCTGGGAATATTTTTTATGACAGAATTGTATTCATACTATAATATGACACCCATATTATGGCGGATATACAGCAAGGGACAATATGATGTTTTTGTGAATGCTCGGAAGCGGTCCAAAACTGGCTGAAAAATGCTGCTGATGGCTAGATCCAACCAGATCTCGCTCACCAAATATTCTGGCGACTGCATTCATGAACTTGTGTACTTACACCAGACATGACTGGTCAATATATTTGATTTAAAAGGTGCTATGCACATGTACAGGGAAGGAACATTAGTGGAGCGTTAGAACGAGCAAGGCGTGATGAAATTTGTCGCTCCGCCTGATCTCAGACACTTGAGGTCGACTTTGGAGAGACGGCTCGGCTTCTCGGTGGAAGCACGGCTCAACGGCATCTGGTGTGACACTTGGGTGACGAAATTTATAAAAAGTGGTGCAGGACCTACTTTGTGCGCCGGAAAGGATCCACTGCTTTTGCAAGACTTCGGTAAAATATACCAAAAATACGAATATATAGCTAAGGTGTGTGCACATTGATTCATGCAAAACCGCCCGCGAAGAGTGAATGTGGTAAGCTACAGGATGCAGATTGTCCCAAACTTTATAAACCAGGGTGGCTTCCGACGCCTCTACGGATATTACATAAGACCGTTTGTGCGCGGCAAATATAGGCCCATGACGAAACTTCGCCCCTTTCCTCGGCCTCCTACTTTCAGATTTGGCGGTGCGTGCGATGTCGCCTTCAGCTTAGGTTGTCCTGATTACTTGGGCGCGGCAGATATGCGCAGGCGCGCAGGCGCCGTACGTTGTACGCTCACCCCGGAGGAACGTGCAGGGCTCTGTCGGCAGTACCAAGCTGCAGTCAAGCGCGCGCGAGATCTGGCGACGAGGCTTAATGAGGATATCTGGGTGGTGGGACTTCCTGACGAGTTTCTCATTGAGATCTTCAAGTGGTCCATCACCCTTTGCATGCGGCCTGTCAACCGCTCGGCCGAAATAGAGGAATATGGGTTTGATCTCTCGATCTCAGCCTCAGACATCTATGGATGGCTTCCGGTCACCCAAGTATGCAGTCGCTGGAGGCGTGTTGCGCTTGGTGCAGCCACGCTGTGGACAAGGATCGCGGTCATCTCACTTGACTGCGTAGAGACGTTCCTGCGGAGGTCAGGGCAGCTGCCTCTCGATATCCGGGGCGAGATATACCATCCCTCCCGCCTCGACGGTTTCGCAAGCTGGGAACCCGTGTTCAGGCAGTCGCATCGTATCGAGCGACTCACCATTCAGGACTACAACGAGAACTATTACAGGCTGTCCGCCGAGACCACACGCATTCTCATTGAAGGCCTTCCAGAGCTGCCAAATCTGAAGAAGCTGAAAGTAGCCGCCCCTCCAGATAGCTGGCAAGTCCCATCTATTCTACGACACCTTGAAGAGAGACCTCCCGTATCCCTTGAAAGTGCAGAGATCTTCGGCCTTACCCTACCCGACCTCAGATCTTGGTTTTCGCCAAACATGACACATCTCTGTCTTTCGAATATTGCCCCGCTGTATGAGGATGCGGCCAGATTGAGGATGCTGCTAGAGATTCTGAAGACTCTTCCACTCCTCCAGACGGTCAAGCTATGGAACGGCTTGCCATGGGCTGACGACCCCGAGCTGGAGATACCTTTCGACTCTCGCGAGCCTCGTCTCCTCTTCGACAAACCGGTTTCCCTGCCATGTTTGCGTCTACTGCACGTAGCCTCCACCTCGTCCGACCAGTGTCTGGCCCTCGCCACACTGCTAGCGAACTTGGAATTTCCCGCGACGGCAGAGCTAAACCTGCTCGTTGTCGACGAGGAAATAGACACCGAAGAGGACTTGCAGGCCCTTGAGTACATCGGCCCCGCGCTCACCAAGCGACTTGAGGCTTCCGCTACGCACCAGCCCCCGGCGCCCGTGCGCGCGCTACGCTTGGATGCTGAGAGCGATGCAACTGCTAAGTTCACAGGATGGAAGGAGTCACTGCCCTCACTCGCGCCTATGCCATACGGGGCGCCGAAGGCGATCGGGAAAGCGTCGCCACTGTTCGAGTTGAGTCTGAAAAGCGTCAGTGCACGCGCTGCGCTTGCATTGTTCGTACCCCTGCTCCCACTAGAGACGATAGAGACGCTTGCCGTGGGCTTGTTAATGCGGTGGCCAGCCTTTGACCACCATCCTCTCGAAGAATGTATCTGGAAGCAGCAACTTGCCCAGATGCCGAATATACGCACCCTATGCGTCACAGGCGCGTCTGCAACCTTCCTCCCGGAGGCGCTTCGTCCTCATCCCGAAACCGAAACGGTACCACTCCCGATGCTCAAGCAGCTAGAACTGTCTGAAGTCGCGTTTCTCCATAAGGTCCCATTGGTCAATAAAACTGGCGGCGCTGGCGAGATGTTGGAGCGCAACCAGTGGTTCGAGGTTTTCACAGGTACGCTGCAGGCGCGGGCGGATCTGAATCCAGAACTACGTCTTGAGAAGATCCATATTAACTGCGCGCAAAGTATCAGAGAGGACGATATAGAGGAATTGGAGAAGTATGCCGATGAAGTTATTTGGGATCTCGATGTGTTAAAATCTAAACGTTAGCATCGAGATAGTGGCCGCAGGGGATTTGTATGAAATATTCAGTCTAGAGAATTGAATGCTGTTGTTTCGAGGAGAGAGCCCAAGCCCAAGCCCACGATCATATACTAGAGCTCAGCGCTCAAACGGTTCCTTGCGAAATTTTGAGACCCTCGAGATCTTGTTCGATGTAGAGATGTGATGTCCATCTGAGTGGCTTCATCTCAACAATCGAACATATTTTCGGGTACACGCTCTACATTAAATGGTATTCGACTCGTCCAGAGGAACAGTGGTTTACCCCTTCCGCAATTTAAGAGGCTGGTTCACGAGCCTAGGCGCGTGGCTACACCGCGACGAATACATCTTCAGCTTCAACGTTCGACGTTCAACCGCCGCTATCGTCAGCGCCCGTTAGAGTCCCAGCCTTAAGGCCTTAATACCGACCACCAGCAGCTTCTATAAGCTCGCTTAGTCTCGTGTTCAAGCTATAGCATCACTGTATCTGTCGTTGAATCTTCATTGGCCGTAGCCGGCTCCCAATTTGCGCCACACATTTTGCTACAAAGCGCGGATAATAGCTCTTTCAAGTGCTAAATTGAAGTACGTGGCATTACTTGACGGGTCTCCATCATTGCGAGCGAAAAGCTTATCTCTACATGCAAGGTCATGCAACGCGGAGCTATACTCCCGTTATCCTTTCAGGAAAGGCAGCAGCCGGAGCAACAGCTAGGGGACTTCCGAGAGCCCGCTCGCAACGCGGTCACAAGACTCAATGTAGCGATCACCACGGCCGGTCTCCCGGAAGAGCTTTTACTCGAGATCTTCAAATGGTGTATTCAACTTGAACAGTACACTACCAAGTCCACGACCCGCGTCACCAACTTGAAGACGACAATGGTCCGCCAGAGGGTGCTGTCAGGCACCTATGGATGGTTATTCGTCACACATGTCTGCCAACACTGGAGAAACGTCGCACTTCTTTCTCCTAGCCTGTGGATAAGTATCAAGATCACGTCCTTCGATTGTGTTCGTGCATTTCTTGATAGGTCTCAGATGCTACCGCTGGCTATTCAAGGCAGTGTCGACCTCGACAAGCAGAATGACATCCGAACATGGGAGCTCATCTACCGGCAGTCCGTACGGATTCAATCTCTCGTATTCTCATCATATTCCTGGCGTCCCGGCTGCCTTTACGACAAGCTGGCTGCCGTTCTTCCACCGACCAAGCCATCATTCCCTATTCTAAAGTCGCTCAAGGTGCTCAAACTCCCTGGGGACGACCCATGGCTCCCGTTCAGACTGCAACCATTCGGGGTTTCCCTTGCCATTCTCGAAGAGCTCGATATCGCCGACCTTACGCTATCAATCATTGCACATATCTGTCCGTCTAGCCTAAAACATCTCGCTTTACGTAGGTTCGACCACTACGAAGTACGATCCCTTAGCGAAGGCGAGCGGTGGAAGAGCCTCGGAAGCCTTCTACGCTCATTACCTGTACTTCAAACATTAACAGTGGAGGACGGGTTGCCTCAAAGGCCCGCATACACGCATGACGACATGGGCAGACAATCTGTCGTTAGCAAGGTCTTTGACCCGCCTGTCGCCCTGCCACGTTTACACACGCTGCACATACTCTCTTACACTCAATATCAAGCCATCGCAGTCGCCAAACTTATTGTCAGTCTTGTAATTCCCTCACTTGGCCAACTGCACGTTCGATCTACCCACATGGTCAGCTCGCTGGAAGATCAAGAGTCGAGAGCCATCGGCGCCGCTGTGGGTCAGCAGCTAGCTTCTGCAACGACGCGCACCCCGATCTGTACAATTTGGATCAAGCGAGAGCATAGAACACACTACGGCCGGCATCCTACTATTCTGGGCTGGACCGGTCACGGTGCCGTGCTACCGTTTGGCCAATATAGCGCAGACATTCTTCGCGACATCCCCCCAATACTCAACATCCATTGCCACGGGTCCTCAGTGAACAGCCTCGTCAGTCGCCTTGTCCCCTATCTACCACTCAAAGAGGTACAGATACTCGTCCTCGGAGACTTCTACGAAGACCAGCTCGATGTTTCCGCAGACGTCTCGGACAGAGGGACGTGGATGGAGGTGCTAGGTCCGGCGGAAGACGTTCGCTTCTTGTTGGTCTGCGGCGCGACGGCCATGGATCTATCTGCAGCTCTACGACCGCAAGTTGGGATGCGGCAACCACTTTTTCCGAAACTCAAGCAGCTGAAGTTGGTGCAGGTTGCATTTGATGGTGTATTTGTCCCCCACGACCGTAACGGGTACAGGTGGGGGAACGAGTGGTTTACTGAGTTTATGGGCGCGCTAGAGGCGCGGTCGGCGTTGGATCCTGGTCTACAGCTTGAAAAGCTGTACATCCAGGACGCCAAGAATGTCACGGTAGGAATGGTGGAGGAGCTGGAAAAGTATGTCCTTGAAGTGGTGCTGGACAGTCTGCCGGACGACGAATCTCAAAACCATACTTGTATGGAGAGCCATGTCGGGAACTCTCGCTAGTGTACTAGTGTACTCATTAATTCGTTGCACTATGTATATAGAGCTGCTGTGAATGATAAAGCTCACAAGCCCGTCTACTACATGGTATCGCGGCTCACTCACGCTTCACTACAGCCTGAGTCTTCAGGATCTTGCCGGCTTGAACCGATATCGCTAAAGGTTGAAGTGACACTTTCATAGTCGCACACCTCATAGCTATCGGTATTTCCAGAGCATTACACCTCCAACATCCTACTGCAAATTAAAGTCATCGGATTACAGGTGTAGAGTATGGTCGCACAAGCCAGATAATCAGGATAAAACCCGGGCATATGTCGTAAGAAAAATAGCAAAAACAGCAACGAAGTCTAAACCCCGCTCGCACCATTTGAAACTTCCTGCGCTAGTTCACTATCATCACGCGATGTCCGCGAAGGCCCGGCTTCTTGCTCGCCCTCTTGAGGATGAGTAGCGTCCCACATGTCCACATCCAGTACGGGAAGCTCGTCGTCCGCAGGCTTCGCCTCTTCAAACGGCACCTCCTCGCCATGGTCCGTTTCGCCGTCCGCATCCTCCTCGTGCCAGTCCGGATGCCAGTCTGGATCACCACGCTCGAGCCAGTCCGTGTCGATAATCATGCCCCGGGCGAACATGTTCGTGACCGCTTTAGACGGGATGTCATCGCAGATCCGGCGAACGCGGGCCGTGCGACGTAGCAACCAATGGTCGTACGGACCCGCTTCAGGCCCTGCACCCTTGCCCTCAGATAACTCCCCATTGGCCTCGATGCTTGCGGCAAGCTTATCCGAAAGCTTCGGTCTGCGCGGCGTGCGCAGGCCCACAGACTTGTCAACGACGCCAAAGGGGGAGGAAGTACTGATATTCTTCAGAACCTTGCGTCCGAGTGTTAGATGTCTGGCCTTCGATATCGGAGCAGGTTGGATGGGTTGCTCGACGGTCATATAGGCAGGAAGAAGGTCAGGCATCGGGGGTAGAGTGTGGTCTAAGTCTGGAGGGACGAGTCTTGCTTGGGATTTCAACAGCTGTCCGTGGTGTTTGGGTTGTTTGTAATGCATAACCATGTCGTGTGTGCCCCAACATTCGAAGTCACAACCTATCCAAGCGAGTGTCAAATTTAGCGCTAATCAGGAAATCGCACGACTCACCAGCGTAAGCGCATACAACAGGGTGAAGTGAGTGCTTCTGAACATGATGAGCGAGTCTCTCTTTGCTCTTATAATCTCTCGGACATCCCGCCCACAGACAGAGCGCAACCTCATCCTGAACAAATTGAATGAGTACCATTCTGGCTAGCGACGAAAAAGCGTATACGTGCAGTATCATCATATTCTTCTACGTGCGTCTTCGCATGCAAACCCAGCCGTCTCGCAGACTCAAGCACGGCATCACAACCTTCCCACTGACATCGGGTAGGGTTCAGTTGGTTGTAGCACAAATCATGTACGCCCTTAGCTTCCGCGTCTACAGGAAGCAGGCATTGTTATTCACGGGCAAATCAAGTAATTTACTGCTGTGTTCACATGCCTTCTTTTCGTTGCGTTTCGTTGTCTGCGACTCTCCTGTCAGCTCCACTCGATACCCGAGCGAGAAAAAACTGACCTCGAAAATCCTCAGCGATTTCGTCTACATCCTCATTCGACGACTCGGGAGAGCTTAGCACCCGGCGCCCCACAACCCTCGGCCCCTTCTTTATGCGCCCCCATAGACTTTGTAGCTCGACAGACGGTGATGGCACAAGAATGTATACTTCCGCCTTCCACCTCCTGCCGGCCCCGGCCTTTGCCAACTCCCCCATATCCGACGATTGCACGAGCTCGACGTCACTACCTCCCTGCACCCGTTTCTCCTTCTCACTACTTGGGGGTGTAGGCGGCCGGTCAAGAACCTCGATGTCGCTATCAACTCCGTACCGCCGTTGTTTGCCCTTATCGGGCGACGTTGGGGGTAGATCGCCTAGGAGACCAGACGGCACAAAGTCAGAAAGCCCACCGGCAAGGCTGTGACCCGCGCCAAAGTCATTGGGTGGCGAGTCGGGCGAGACGAAGAAAAGCGGTTGCTTCGAAGGACCTGCTATAGGCGTCACCGGCGTGGAGGAAGAAAATGATGCGATAGGAAGTATAAGGGACTCGCTGGAGGGACCGTTCGGGAGTGTGGAGGAAGAAGGCGGCAGTGGTTCTGCACCGACCATGTCAATGTCACCATTCGACGCTTTGTCGGCGGTAGGACTCGAGCTACTAGATGTTGGGGGACCGGAAACAGCGGATTCAAGCCTTGGTGAAGAGCGCGTCGAAACTGGACCTAGGGGCGGTGCATCGGGAATAGGCGAGCTTGGTTGCTGAGGTTGCTGAGGTGCGACACTTCCGTGCAGAGCTGCGACGGCTTCGTTAAGCGCAAGTTCCATGGCACCCGGCGTCCTAATCTCCATAGTTTCTTCAATGGCATGAGGAGCAATGTCAGATGGCGCAGGCACGAACCCATCAGCAGGGCCGTCGCTGGTGTCTGGGAGCTGCAGCGGTGCTTGCGAAGTCGGTCGAATTACGACAATCTCCGGTGGCGGAAGGGGGGCAACGGACAGGGATAAATTTCCATTTGCGACGTTTTGCGAAGTAGATGAAGGATCTACTCCAGTAGGGCCTGTCTTCTGTCTCTTATCCGCCAACTCGGTAGTTGACAGTGTTCGTTTCCGTTTCGCATTTGCATCATCCTTGGCTGGTGTGCTTGTTGGTGACACTTGTGCAAGAAATTGCGCCGATGGCCTGCCTAAAGACCTTAGGATGTCCCGAGCAAGACGACCCTTATCCGCCTGGTTAGGTGTCAGGACAGATGGCCTCATACTGCCTTGCGGTGTCTGAGGCGGCCTCTGCAAGTCCGGAAACACGACACTTGGCACGTTTTCTTGTCCAGGATGTCGAGTATGAGAACTGTGAGCCAGTGATGGGGGCGACTGGGCGGGCAGTGAGTGATTTAGTTGGCTGGCGATGCCTAAGGGGACTCAACGAAACGATCATCGTCAGAAAAATCGCGCTTACCGTTCCGTTCAGTAGCTGGGTTCTCAACAATAGCGGAATCGGCAAGCGACCCGCCAGGTAGCACTACTTCAGTGCGTGAATGTGTCTGATCTGCAGTGCTGGATCTTCCATTTGAGAGAGTGGTCTGCGCATTGACCGCTTGTGTTGAGGAAGTATCCACGAGGGTAGAAGCTGTCATGAGGGCAGCCTGAGCCGCCAGCCTCATTTCCTCCTGTACCTTATGAAGAATAGAGACGATCGAACCTCCGATCAAGCCCTGCAGTACTCTCAAAGTGAGATGTTATAAAGCTGCTATCAAAAAAACTTGCACCTTCAACCTTTCCACAACATCGTCGCTGATGCGCTGCAGTTCAGGGCCTATCTGGAGATCTTCCAGAGGCGGCAAATCCACGGGCTGCCCATCACTGCGTACCAGTCTGGCCCGTAGTCTGTTGACGACCACTCGGAAAATAAGACGGACATCGTTCAAGGTCAGTGACTAGATCAAAACAAGTACTCAGTCTCTCTGTCACCACATTTCGCGAAGAAACTACCTGAACTACTGAATAGACGTCCTTTTCGATTTGAGCTGAATCGATTCGCTCCTGCCTGCTGCGCGCAGAGCTTTCACTCGAGATAGTAGTTTGCAGAGCGTTCGCAGAGGCGCTCTGTGGCATTTGGCTCCGTCCCATGGTCGATATGGCAGGAACCGCAACTGGGGCATTGTCATCCCGATCACGGGCGGAAATAGGCTGCTTTGGAGCTGAGGCTTGTGTGGCCTGTGGGTACGCCGGCACCGTCCGAGCACTTTGCTGCGGTTGACCTGTGTAGGGTACGAATGACAACGGCTGTCTCGAGGACGACGCGATGGGTCGCGCATCTTGTCCACGTCCCTGCTGCGAGCGACTAGAGTATTGAGACGCAGGAGCTTGACTTGGAGCTGTGTTTGAATAGGCCTGAGGTGGATATGGAAAAGTAGTGGATGAACTAGTGCCTGTGTATGGTGGATGATGGGACGCCTGTCCAGTTTGTGTTTGCCCTGTAGTGTAGCCGTACGGTGGTGGGCCGGAATGACGTTGGCTAGTGTGTCTCTCGAGATGCTGCGACCGAGAGCTTGAGGCAGTGCCATTGGCCTGAAGATACGGCATAAGTAATAGACAATAAATCTAACAGCGTGAGCCTCGCACATGATGGGTCGGTTGGTGCTGAGCCGAGGCCGCGTCCAGCGTTACGGCGTTATTCGCTCTATATGCCGCACTTGCGCTAGGTCCTGCGGGATATCCAAAAGGTAGAGCAGCTTGCGAATGGCTAGGAGGCGCAAGTGTAGTATATGAATTTGGTCTGAAGCATTCAGTTTGGACTATGAGACAAGTAAGCTATAACAGATGATAGTAACTGACTGGGCATGTGGCGGCTGCGCTTGAAGCTGAGCGAGAATCCGTCTTGAAACCCGATAAGAGAGAAAGACTCGGGTTGAAACATTTGTACATACTCGGCTTCCCTGCCCTGTTCCACGCGATTTTGCAACTCTTGCTCCGCCATGACGTACAGCCTGTATGCCTCCTCATTCTGACGCTCAATTCGGGCGACATACTCGCGGGCACTCGCGATATTTTGCTGCACTTGTCTGTATTGCTCGGGCGTGATCATAACGCCGTCCCGTAAGGTTAACCATGATTGCGACCCTGGGATGTTTTGCTGTTCGCGACCATCGCTCATGGTGGCATTCGAGACTGCGTCCTAAGCGTCGAGGCAAACAATGTGCGCGGTTGGAATGAAGGCGACGGGAGGAGCTGGGAAGAGCTGTCCTGCCCGCGCTGCCTCTAGAATTCGCGCATTCAGTGACATGCTGACTAATCAAAAGTCACGTGCTGCTAACGTTAGCGCACAATATGTTCACTGCTACGCGACTGGCGTGTACCTGCAACATATCACTGAGGAGGTACGTTCCAATTTGGTTGAACTATGTACAAGTCTAAGATGACTTTATCTCTGCTCAAGATGTTCGCTAGAGCGGGCTGTGGCGTGCGGCGTGTACTTGTAGCCCCGCGACGTGGATATGCCTCTATTTCGCCTGCCGTGAACCCCGGCTCTGTAGGGCCGTTTCAAGTCTTTGACAGAAAGGTTAAGGCTCTGCAGAAGGACCGATCAGCGATACTTGAAGATGGCAAGCGCAGTCGGACTGTGGATTACATCCGGGAGGAGGTCGCGGACAGGATGATAGAGCGACTGCTAGTGGGTAGCCCGCGTCACGGGTGCAATCGACGTACTAACAATGTGATAGGACATCAAGCGTAGATACAACGCTATCTTGGACCTAGGTTCAGGTCCAGGCCACTTGTCAAAAATGCTCGAGCCACACATGACTCGAAAGGTCGTTATGCTTGACTCCAGCGGTACGTTGCACGCGACGCAGACATGGCAAATTCTCAATGTTTATCTGCAGAAAAGCTACTCAATCGTGACCCGGACTCCGAGTTCGAAGGTCTGTGCATTTTATCCAATTCCTACGGACTACACTTTAGCGACTGTATTATCCAGTGGAAGTGGAACGTGTACACGGAGACGAAGAGCGACTCCTAGAAAGCATACCAAGGAACTCGCAAGAGGCGATCGTGTCGTGTATGAGCCTGCACTGGGTGAACGACCTTCCTGGAATCCTGGTGCAAATCAAAGAGGCCCTACAGCCGGATGGCGTATTCCTCGGAGCTCTTCTTGGAGGTGACACTCTCTTCGAGCTAAGGTAAGATCTAGTTGGTATTCGATTAGATGTATCCAACGACCCGCAGGACATCATTGCAGCTGGCAGAAGCTGAACGAGAAGGCGGTATATCACCACATGTCTCTCCTATGACTGGTACGGCTTGCATGGAAACCGTTACCGTAGCCTTGACGCATGGCCTCAGACTCCAGGGACATGTCAAATTTGATGGGCCGAGCCGGTTTTACGTTGTTGACGGTGGATGTTGATGAAGTCAAGGTCAACTATCCGTCAATGTGGGAGCTCATGGATGACCTGCGTGACATGGGCGAGAGTAACGCGGTTGTCGGACGGTAAGTGAGGGTGCTCGCTGTGAGCCAATCCTGACCGCGCGTTCAGTCGTCATATTATCCATCGCGACACTCTTGCTGCCGCTTCCGCGATATACGAAGGTATGGTTCGCGCTATGCCTGATGAAGGCACAGTCTAACATCCCACCTAGCATTGCACGGAAACGAAGACGGTAGTCTGCCCGCAACTTTCCAGGTTATCTACGTGGTACGCCTGATGCTAACTTGCCTTAGACTGTAGCTCACGTTTCCCTACAGATCGGATGGAAACCAGCACCGAACCAGCCCAAAGCACTAGAGCGAGGCACCGGAAAGACAAGTCTCAAAGATGTTTTGTAATGTCAATAGGTACACATATCGCAACTATGATTCAGGCTGTTCTGAAACCTCTAGATGAGCGTCGACCATTGTAATTGCGAGACCGTTCTCAGTCGTTATTTCGGTGTCCTGGGGCGCCGCTACCGAAATGCTCATCTCACCTCCCTCAGCCTCTACGTCGGCATCTGTGACCTCGTCATTCTCGACCTCTTCGCGCATTTCTTCGTCGTCTAGAGCTAATGCATCAAGAATTACCCGTCTTGACTCACTGTCGAGCTCGGCGTGGTCTTGTCCATCACCAGTTTCCGGCTGCTGAGACCCACGCGCAGCGCTCCCACGTCTGCTATCTTTGCCTTTTTCGTTGAATTTTCGCTTAGGTATAATCTGTTCGAAAGCAGTTTTCCAGTCTCGCGTCTCGACCCACTCCAGTAGGATCTCAAACGTCTGGTTAACCGTTAGGACCTTCCTCGTCTTCAGCTCAGCCAGGTATGTCCCTATCGGGAGTCGAGCCGTGCGTATGTGCGAGGCCTCCGCTTTATTGAGGCATAGATTCTTTAGAGAAGGTCAGCTCTCGTCGACAGTAAACATTGGACACGTGTACCTTGTAGCGGTTATGGTCAACTATTCCTCCAATGATATAAGTTTCGCCTTCCTTCAGTTCCGTAAGCTCATATGTACTGTCTGCGGTAAGGTAGATCACGCTTTCTCGAGAGGCAGTCTGCGGATTCTTCTGGAGTTTCAGAGTATTCTTCTCCCTTTCCCTATCCCCGGCCCCCTGTTCGCTTGCCTTCTCGTCGCTCACAGCTGTGGCTTTTTCCTCTGTTTTCCTTTCCCAAAGCCTCTCATAGCCCTCATGCCACCATTCGGTCTCTCTCCACCGTCTATAGCCAGCATCGCTCATAGACTCTAGTCGCGTGTGTGTCCGTCCACCGAGGCTTGTGTACAACAGCGCAGCAAACGGGTGCGATGCTTTCTTGTTCGCGTTGTATGTGTACCCAAGCTGGTTCGTTAACGACTTGACTTCCTGCAATCCCTCTCTCGTTAATCGCCTTCTCAGCAACACACGCGCGGAGTCCTCACGTTCTCGGTCATCAAGTCGTCGAACCCAAGGTCGACGATAATCCGCGCCTGGAAGGGGGTCCGCGGGCCCTCAGTACGAGACTTCTTGCGGGGCTGCTCGTCGCCGTCCAACTCGCCTGCCGCTCGCTTTGCCGCGAGCTCGCGCTTCTTCTCTTTCTTTTTCTCCTTCTCGTACGCTCGCCGGTCCTTTTTCTGCTCAGCCATGCGCGTGGCCTTCGCGAGTTTTTTCTGAGCATTTTTCGAGAGAGGTTGAGACTGCTGGGATGGCGGGGGCGCCGGAGTGGTGACGGAGGCGCAAGACGCGTCGGCGGGAATGGTAGCCGAGGGAGAAGCAGTCGTCTCTATCGTCTGCGCGTGTGGTTCTGCTGTCATTGCCCAAAGCAGGTTTTCAAAAGTCAAGCTTCAAGCTCAAGAGGCAAGAGGCCGAAGAGAATATATCGGAATGCGGAGCGCTGAACGCTTTGTGCAATGACGATATGGGGAAAGAGGGAGGCAATTGATCGCGCTCGTGGGCTCGTGAGTAGCATCGATACATGCCCAGGACTTCACAGCTCTTCCTCCTCTTCGTCGGTCTTGCTGGCCTTTGGTGCTCTTACTCTCTCTTCTCCAGGACTTCCGGCGGTATCGAGACTGAACCTATGGCAGCGCTGCAGCCACTCAAAGTTCTGAGCGTTGCAGCTCGTGCGAGGCACAGCGCGACCGTGATCTTCGTGCATGTGCGTCGATCTCCCCTCTTGTCTCTGTATCTCCGGAAGCGAACTCCCTCCTTAGGGCCTGGGAGACAGCGGCTATGGCTGGCAGCCAGTCGCATCCATGTTTGGCAGCGTTCCTGCCTTGCAGCACATTAAATGGATATTGCCACACGCGTGAGCGACACTCGCCACATCCCTACGCTTAATGATTAAGGAACGCAATACGATGCAGACTGCCAATGCCAGTAACTGCAAACGGCGGTATGGTCATGCCGTCCTGGTGAGTCCCATAGGGTCTCACCTGGACCTGAAGCTGAGCCGTACCCCAAGGTTTGACATCCAAGCTTTCGACTTCTCGATCGAGGACGAGCCAGGCATGCTGCGCACTGTGCGCCAGCTGAACGAGATCATCACTGCAGAAGTGGACGCGGGCATCTCGGCGGACCGCATCATTATTGGCGGCTTCAGCCAGGGTGGCGCGGTGGGCCTCCTCACCGGTCTGACGGCAGAGCGCAGACTTGCCGGTGTCGCGGTCATGAGCGCGTGGGTGCCGCTCAAGTCCAAGTTCAAGGCTGTGAGCGACTCCTCCCTCGTTGGCCGTCCTTGTCACTGAGCAGTGTATAGATGATGAACGACCATGCAAAGAAGCTCCCGATATTCTGGGGTCATGGGACAAACGACCCGCTCGTCAAGTTTATCTGGGCCAAGCAGTCTGTTCAATTCCTCAAGGAAGGGCTCGGAATTACTGAGACGACGGAGGCGGATCAAGCAGGAATCGAGTTTCATGCGTATAATGGACTCGTCCATTCAGCGTCCGACGAGGAAATCGAGGATTTACAAGCATGGTTGGAGAAAGTTTTGCCAGTGAACGAATAAAAGCGCGAATACATTTCAGACACCTGTACACATAAGTAGGATACATGAGGATCTCTCTGGCTACAGGCATCTGCGAATCCAGCGTCACGGTGAACTTGTAGCTCGAATACAGCTCTTGCCTATTTCGGATCAAGTTCTCACGGGACGGGACGGCAGCAAAACTTTGCCTCATCGCTGCCGTAAACGACGACCCTCCAATTTTCTGCTATGGCACCTCCAAACGGCGTGAATGGCGCACACGACGACGCAGACGACATCGACTACTCCGATATTGAAGCAAAGTTTGTTTCCCCCAGTCTCCTCCCTCGTAAAGTCTGACCGCAGAATTCAGATATAAGGTCGGGTATGACGAGGGCTTCGATAACATTCTAGTCATCGGTGGAGTCCCCGTTGTTGACAAGAGTAAGCTTGAGAAGCTACTCGCAAAAATCTCGAAGGAATTTGGCAGGAAGGGTGCGCCTCTGAAACCAGAGGATATGTTCATGCCCTGGGACGACAACACCGGCAAAAGCAAAGGGTGCGTCTGCTGAACCTATGTTTCAAGCATGTCCTAAATCGCCGTATTAGATTCATCTTTGCCACCTTTAAAAACGCTGAAGATGCCGCTTACGCCATGGCAGCCATGAACGGTTACCCTTTCGATGCGAAACACACTTTCCACATCAATCGCTTCTCTGATGTTGAAAGATACGCGAACTTGGACGAGACCTGGGTTGAGCCAGAACCCGAAACTTACAAACCCAAGGTAGATCTCAAGTGTCGTGTGCGAGGACTTAACCTTTTTTCACACTCACGCAGGAGCATCTGCGTGCATGGCTCGGCGACCTGCAGGGTCGCGACCAATATGCTACGTACCGTGGAGACGAAGTAGAAGTACACTGGCACGGCAAGCCATCGCAGTGCGAGATTGCTCACCAGCGCAACGTGAGCGATATTGGCCTCTATGTTTTGCTCCGTCGTTCAATAATCACTTCGCAGGGCTGGACAGATCTCTATGTCTCTTGGTCACCTCTTGGCACCTACTTTGCCTCCCTTCACAGACAAGGTGTTCGTCTCTGGGGCGGCCCATCATGGGAGGCCCAACACCGCTTTGCCCATCCTTTTGTCAAGCTCATTGACTTCTCACCTAACGAGAACTACCTCGTTACATGGTCCCACGACCCGATACACGTTCCCGAAGGTGCTCAGCAGGGACCGCAATACTTCTCGCCTGAAGACGAGGGCAGCAATATCGCCGTCTGGGACCTCAAGACCGGCAACCTCCTCCGTACCTTCCCGTCTGCCATGCCCGAGAACGAGGACGGCGTGAAGCGACAGATGCAATGGCCTGCGTTGAAGTGGAGCGCGGACGATCAGTTCGTCGGCCGTGTCACACCCGGTCAACATATATCTGTGTACGAGCTCCCGTCCATGCGCTTGCATGACAAGAAGAGCATCAAGATTGAAGGCGTCATCGACTTTGAGTGGTGCCCGCACGGCGATAAGGACCGCGAGGAGGCTGAGAAGGCTGAGAAAACTGGCAAGAAACCCAAGGAGAACCTGCTCGCGTATTGGACTCCCGAGGTCGCGAACCAGCCCGCGCGTGTCACCGTTATCAACTTCCCCAGTCGAAGCATTCTTCGGCAAAAGAACCTTTTCAATGTCTCTGAGTGTAAGCTCTACTGGCAGAGCCAGGGCGACTTCCTCTGTGTCAAGGTTGATCGCCATACGAAGACTAAGAAATCGATTTTCTGCAACCTTGAGATCTTTCGTGTTAGGGAGAAGGACTTCCCTGTTGAGGTCGTCGAGCTCAAAGGTATGTAGTTAGTATGTTCTCTTGTTTCCGATCATTTATGTGTCTCGATTGTGGCAGATGCTGTCACCGACTTCTCATGGGAGCCCAAGGGAGAGCGTTTCGCCATCATTTCCAGCAGCGACCCTAACCTCGGTAACCCTGGTCCTGGTGCCAACATTAAGACCGACGTTAGCTTCTACCAGCTTGTCCGCGGGAAAGGCGACTTTAAGTTGCTCCGTAAGTTTTTCTTCTTCCTTTCTCGGTCTGTATGGTCATTAATCTCCTTCAGGTACGTCGTCGAACCGGACCAGTAACACTATCCGCTGGTCACCAAAGGGCCGCCATGTTGTCCTCGGCACGGTCGGCTCGACTTCGAAGTCGGAGCTGGAGTTCTGGGACTTGGATTTCAACATCGACGAAAAACGCGAGGGCGCGAAGGAGGAGTGGGGTGCTGGTATCCAACACTTGGGCACAGCCGACCACTACGCGTTAACCGATGCTGAGTGGGACCCCTCTGGCCGTTACCTCGCTACCAGTGCAAGTGCCTGGAGACATACTGTAAGTTGCCAAGGTCTATTTTTGCCGCTAGCTGCACGGATGTCCTATAGATTGAGAACGGCTACGCCATCTGGGACTTCCGCGGTCAAGAGCTCGAGAAGCACATTCTTGACCGCTTCAAGCAGTTCCTTTGGCGGCCGCGGCCACGGACACTGCTCACTAAGGATCAGCAACGCCAGATCCGCCGCAATCTTAAGGAGTACAGCCGGCAGTTCGACGAAGAAGATGCCGTGGAGGAGAGCAATATCAGTGCAGAGCTTATCGCGCACCGGAAGCGTCTCGTCGACGAGTGGAACGCGTGGCGCGTCAAGGTTAAGGAAGAGGTTGCCGAGGAACGCAGGAAGCGGGGCAAGAAGGAGCCTAAGGCCAAGGATTCTCAGGAGGAGGAGAAGGAGGAGATTGAAGTCTGGGTCGACGAGGTTATAGAACAGATCGAAGAGGAGATCGTCGAGTAAACCCATGATTCACGCCTGTGTTACGTTTCGGCCTTTTCTCCGTGCTGTATTCATCTCCATGTTGTATCCCCAGATCATTCCCTCACGCGTTGTGTACCGCTGGTGATATACTGTACATATATCAACCTTCGAATTTTTGGGCTGCCTGAGGTTAGGGTTAGCGGCCAGATAAGGTTCCATTGATTACTTGATGACATCAAGCATCTGCGGCCGCGAAGCTGCGGTGTCAGTACCACACCTCGACCTCGTCCGCGTCTTGGACGAACGCTACAGTTCCTTGCAGTTACCTGTACATGCCACAAACTCACTTATAACCCAAACTGCGCACTCGTAACGATCTGTCATGTCATCCTCTCCGAAACCGTCATCGCCGCCTCCGGCGTACACCGAAGTAGATCCCGCGCAACTCCCCGAATCTTCGTCTGCTACCCCACAGTCGCCAGCGGGGTTTTCGACACACCAGGGCTACGGGCCGACGTCGATAACGTCGCAACAGCAGACAATTTTACCGTACTACGATCCTCGTTCACCGCACGCCATCGCAGAAGCGACATCACGCGCGCGTTGGAGGTTCATCGGAGCTTTTGCATGGGCGGTGATCATCCTCGCCTTCACCAGCTTTTTGCTAGGTATCGAAGTCGATATTCAGAGGCAACCGTGGAGAGGAAATAGGATCAGGATTGGGTTTGGCAAAGGGAACACCGACCCTTGGAGCGAGCAGTAGATCTTGCTTGGCGTAAGTTTTGCGATCCTGAAAGGAATGTGCGCTGAGCTGGCTGCAGACACGGGCTCTAGCCACTTGCAAACGTATACCTAACGGAGCAATGTCGCGATACCTATATCCTTCCACCGCAGATGCGCACGGCAGACATAGAGATAGGACGGAAGGAATCGTCGCTGATCCATGGCCCGTTCGCCCACTGCATGCCTTTTACACGCGATTCATTATCTTACGACTCGTCTATTGACAAATTGGTTGCTCCAGGAGTTAATTCGCATGTATACTCTAGCGTAGTCCTCTGTATCGCATGGACTAGAGAGATGGCCGTTGCGAGTACTCTAAATTAATTCGCTCCGATGTCTCGGGGAGTACGAGGCCAAGAGACTCGTCAGCATGGGGACGAAACACAAGCACAGGAAAATAAATGCGGTCTGTCAACGGCTGGAACGAATCTGACGCAAGTCCCTGCATGCTGACTGTTTATGAGACTTAACCTTTTACCATATCGCTCGCGAGGGTCCCCCGGTCGCCTCGCGTGGGGATAACCCCAACTCGGTCCTTTCTTCTCCTCTCTGTGACTTTCCTTCATTCCACCACCATTCTCTAGCTCGCTCGCTCTTCTCTAACACAAGCTCGCAGCGCATTTAGTGTCTAATGCATATCGCGTTGGGGTTACGGTCTTTCCGCTTGCCGGTGCTTGCACATGTGTGGAAGGTCTCGACTGCAAACAGAGACACTTCCTCGGAACATTGGAAGACACGGCGAGACCCTCCGGACAAACAATGTGCGGATTCGAGGTGAATATTCATTGCATTTTCGGTGTTATGCTCACTGTCGACGAAGACAATGGCGGGAATACAGATAATGACGACGACCTCGCGCGTATCGGTGCGAACGAAGCCCACGGCGCCCAGCTGGTCGTCCTTATCACGTGCTCGCATTGCTCTGTTGGAGGTTGTTTGCACAGTGTGGCCCGTGCGCGAGGGCCCGAGAAATAGCGTGGCTATTCCAGACTCCGCCGAATCTGTTCGGCCGCGTCCGCTTCTTCCCCCATCATCCAACTCGATCGCCTCCTCATCGTCAGCCCCAGCGAGCGCGCCCCTTTCCTCGCTGCCCCCGACGTTGTACTTGCCGTCGACAATCACATACTCCCACGTAGTCCCGTCCCTCGTTGTTTGTCCCCTCAACCGCTTCCCACGCAGGCCTGCATCTCCGGCAAAGCGTTCAATCTCACGCGTCGCGCTTTCAGCAACATCGTCGAGCACGCCGTCGTCCACGTACAATATCAGCACCAGCTTGCTCTAGTATCATTCAGATTGTATTTATAACCGGCAACCACCCGCGTTCATATCCCCCGCTCTCCTTGTAGTCGCTCCGGTTGTTGATGTTCTGAACCCATTGTCTCTCACTCACTTCGTTGTTGACCACGCACTCGTCAACCCACTTATCACGCTCACGTCTCTTCCCCATCTGCCCAACCTGGCGTCTTCTATTCCCACCCGCCGTCCTGCTGCTTTCCTGCCCTCGTTGGCATCGACTGCTGCCGACGAAGAGTACATTAACCGCTCTCTTTTGGACAGCCTCAACGACCAGGCAGACGCAGAACCTATGGTTGCGTCTGACTCTGAGGCTCCAGCCTCTTCCGGTAACATGTTGGGATCTTCTATCCCGGCTGCCAACGGTCCCTCCGTCCCCTATCACATCTCTGTCCAGCAGGGACAGCAACACCAGCAGCCCTCTCGTCCCGATTCCCCTGGAACGAATAACGTTTTGCCGAGTTACCTGGCATCTCCTCCCATGAACGCAGATCCATATGCACAGAGCCACGCCTCATCCCAACAACTGTACAACAGCATGAACAACATTCAACATCTTCCGCCTGACTTCTCATCTGTACCTTCTTCCGAGCACGATGCTCTTAATTCGCAGACTACCCTCAATGGATTTTCTTCAGGGCCCTTCCGAACTGGTCTCCAGTTCACTCCATTTAATTCTCGGGCGCGGCAGAACACTGCTCCCACCCGCGATACCTCTAGCAGCTTTCCTGCGACTTCATACCCCTCTCAGGACATCTTCGTCCCCGGCACTGTTACCCAAACGCAGAACGCGGCGTCTGCCCCTTTTGAGCCGATTCATCACCCTGGTCGATACGAGTACGGTCTTAGCGCCTCGCAATCGGTTCCATCTTTGCTGCAAAACGGTCAAACAAAGCAAGCAGGTTTTAGCGCCATGGATGCTTATCGCCTGGGATTGGAACCTTCACCCGCGCAGTCGTTCAAGGCTCCTCCTGGCATCATACGAGATGCTCAGTCCACTCTGCAACAGCCTGGTGCTCAGCAGGCTTTCCAGCCGTCTCATGTCAATAATATCTCGCACCCGCTTTCACATCAAAGTGCATTGCAACAGCAAGGTCCGTTTGGCCATGCGTCCGCAGGTGGCAGTGGTCCGGTCGGGGCACAGGGTTCCTCGGTCCTCGGGGCTGGGAATGCCATGCCAGGTTCGCAATCACAGCCTCAGGAGGAGATATCTACTATCTTTGTCGTCGGCTTCCCAGACGACATGACGGTGCGTGCTTCTTTACCTGCTTTATTCCGAATGGCGCTCACGAGACCGTTTGTCAGGAACGAGAATTCCAGAACATGTTCACATTCTCATCAGGGTTCGAAGCGGCGACACTCAAGATTCCCAATCGCGAGTTGACGTCGTACGGGTCTATGGGCAGCGGATCCAACGGTCGTGTCGGTAGCATGCCTCACCATTACGGAGGATCGAACGATCCGTACAACCTTGTTACCGTTAACCAGGGCGGTGTTGTTGTTGACACTCGTGACGGCACCACTTCCTCTTGGCCATCCGCGCCGGTCCAGTTCGGCGATGAGGGGCATCTTGTGCAGACGATGCAGCCACCGCGTAAACAGATCATCGGCTTCGCCAAGTTCCGCACACGTCAAGAAGCTCTGGAAGCGCGTGACGTTTTGCAAGGTCGTCGGGTCGACCTCGAGAAAGGCTCAGTGCTGAAGGCAGAGATGGCAAAAAAGAACTTGCATACGAAGCGCGGTCCCGGAGCTTCGTCGGGTGGTGGCGGCGGTAACAATAGTGCTGTCGCTGGAGTTGGTTCTCTGCTCAACGGCGCCGCCGCCATGCAGCAAACGGAGGCATTGAACAATACGTTGAACGGGTTGCAAGGACTTGGTGCTAGTGGTGCTAATGGCGAGATCTTTTTGCAACGGGAGAAGGAGCTTGGTACCCTTGGGGTTATGGGCTTGGCTGGGCTTGGACAACGCCGAGGCACCGTTGACGATCGTACGGATCTAGGTCCTATCGGTGGACTGCCGAGCTTTGGGCCGCGCGGTGCTCGTGAGCGGGCCGAAGAAGATGAACGCGAACGCGAGCGAAAGCGCAAAGAGAAGGAAGCTCAAAGGCTCCGTCAGAACTCGTACGCGTTCGAGGCATTCCACTCTGTCCCTTCGCAAATGGTCCGCCAAGGTGCAAACTCGTTGCTGAGTGCCGAGAGTGGCGTTCCGAGTGGTCCTACACACAGTCTATCTACGCAATCATCGATGCAAAGCCTCACTTCACAAGACGGAGTATCCGCATTCGTGGGTCCGTGGGGCTCCCTTCGTGACGTCAGCGCTAGCGCTGCACTCAGAAAGATGACGATCTCGTCGCATACACCTCAACGTCCTCCCTCTGCTGATCAGCAAGAGTCGCCAACTCATCAGGATGGTACTGGCAGCCCGCCGTCAGGCCCAGCTTCCGCGTCTGGTAGCACGAATCCGAGCGCGCCCTTCTCGCCAGACTCGACCTCGTCGTCTCTCCCGGGACCTGCTACGTCGTTCCAGCCGTTTGGTCCTCACCCTGGCTCCCCAGGCAGTGAAAATCTAGCGCTCGGCGCGAGCTCATCGCTACCGAACTCGAGTGCATCAAGCGTCAGCAGCATGCCGCAGCTTAACGAGGAAGAGCTTGCACGATCGCTGGGCGCACTAGCGGTGAGCACGCAGTCGCAGCAGCAAGGCACGATCTCTCCTCAACTGCCTTCCCCGTCGTCCGGTACGAGCTCGAGCACAGGCCGAAACCCTGGTGACCAAAATCCGCCGGTATGTCGCCGTCTTGTCATACCTCTCTATAGCTCACAATGCACACTTAAGATCAACACCCTGTACGTGGGCAACCTTCCCGCGACTACTTCGCCTGGCGCTTCCTCCGCGAAGTTGGAAGAACGTCTGCGGGAGCTGTTCCAGAAGCAATCTGGTTACCGTCAACTTTGCTTCCGTCACAAGAGTAATGGCCCTATGTGCTTCGTGGAGGTACGTAATTACCCTTACCTTTCTATGGGTCGACGTTAACACGCATGCTGTAGTTTGAGGACGTGACCTATGCTACGAAGGCGCTCAACGTCCTCAACGGCGACAACCTTGGAGGCCTCATCAAGGGCGGAGGCATCCGGCTGTCGTACAGCAAGAACCCCCTTGGTGTTCGCACACCAACGAGCGGCAACGGTACTTCCGGCCTGCAGCAGCACCAGAATCAACAAGCGCTCAGTCTCGGCCAGCCTTTCTTCGGAGACTTTGAGAGCTTCCGCTCTAGTCGCCGCAGCGACACCACAGGTTCCGGTATGACCTCTCCCACATCGTCGTACTACTATACGATGTCCTCGCCACCGCCTCGCTTCTCGACGATGTCTCCTCCGTCGAGCACTTTTGGCTCACCTCACTCGAACCCCGTCATGTTCCCTAGAGTCACAGGACAAGGGTATGGTCTGTCTCAAGGGCCCTCCACATTCTCTCCTTTCGGTATTACACCCTCGATACCCGATCAGCCTAGCGCTGACTCCAGCAATGATCATCTGGCCAACAGCTTGTCGCCGACTCAAACCAACCTAGAAGCGAGCCGCGCAAGCTGAACACCCACCACATCAAGCTCGACATTCATCCGCACGCAATCCTCGCATGTAACATAACATATAAGCACACGTCGAAGCGCATATTTACCCGATCCATGTTTCTGCTGGACAATTGGTCTCTCCCATCCTCTTTGGTCTTCTCCCTTTCGACAGCTCTGCGTACGACATTGTCCTCTTATTCATCGACTTCATATAGGTACCTTACGTTGTAACCTAAACCGACTGCTTCATATGATCAAATATTTACTCTTCGCTGCAACCCAATTTCGTCGTCATCGTCCCATCCCCATCCCCATTCCATCACCACTTGCTCATTCATCCACATACGTTGTCCGTGCAGTGTCTCTAGTACCGTTTTTCGCTTACTCTTATGTTTCCTTTATAGCATCTTTATTCTTCTCCGCCTTTCGGTCGCATTGTTCTTGCAAATTGATCTGCTGTTTGGCTAGTATCATTCCCTCGAATTAGGGAACATTGCGCTGGTCTAGTACCCGTACATCCCTCACATGTATCAAAAGCGTATAATTCTGCACGTCCCATGTTTTACTGCCGCTATATACCCTTGGTTCAATGACACCCCGATGCCTGGCTTAATCCTGTGTCGTGTTTGCGCAAGTGAACAGATCGTACACTTTGTTGCGCGCGGAAGTCGGTACGACTCCGCTGAAGCCCGGCTAGGAACCATTGAAAGGTGCACAAGTACGACAGTTTAAGCCGTATGATGATGAAAGCAGCTGCGCGATGGCTCGTTAGTGTCTCTGCGACAGCAGCCAGCTGAGGGTGCGTAGCGAAGTGGTAGACGGGTCGACGACACGGAGGCAGCTCGTGCCGCAGACCTTGACGTTGGCAGTGGTGACGCTGTTCTTCTCCCTCGGTAACACCGAACAAGAGCCTGCGGTATGTAGAATATCGACCCTAGCTCATACTATGTCGGTGTAGTACGTGCAGACCCACGGTACGCATGCCGAGTAGTGCTGAACATCTTCAGCCAGTCTACAACTCTCCCGTCAGCGTCTGAGGGGCGTCTTCGTCGAGCCGCGGCCTTGTCTCGTCGATGCCCTACTCGCGCACGCAGCCATGAGCTCCTGCAGGTATTCACCTCCCTTGCCCTGGCCGTCGCGGAGAATCCAGTCGGCTTGTTCGGTGGCGTCGAGAGTGATCGCAAGGCCATTGCAGTGACCGTGACGATGTGTCAAGCTTGTTTGTAGCGTGGGGCGAAGAGTCTGCCGAGACCCATCGTGCATCACTAAACAGTCAGAGGTCCTGCATCACAGTGGTCATCGAGGTGCTAGTATGTAAATTTTGGGTTGGCCTGACCAGCGGTTTATGGATAGCCAGTCGCAGTTGCGCTGAGCTAGCCGGTCCGCCGGGCGGCTTCGCAGAAAGCACTCAGGCGTGGCTCGCGCCTCTCATCTTGCGCTGCAACGTACAAGGTCAGTTTTCGGCTACAGATGCCCATATTTATACAGTTTGTATGTCTTACGGCGAAATAGCACTTCTTGATGGCTACAGCTACTCAGGACTCGGACAGTACTTCCCTCACTGCGCCGAGGCATGAAAGAGTTCTTTGTGGGCGTCATGAAGCATAAGATCTCGAAGCCCTGTGAAGTCTCCATATATCCTCTCTTCTTGATTCTCAACGTCTCAACATCATTACTGAGTACTGAGGGGCCATCCCTATGCACCTGCCTCACCCCCGGGCCTCACTTACGCAATGAACCCCTTCGCCTTCCAGAAGCGTACCCACGCGCGCGCGTGTTCCGCCGACATAGGTTGGAGCTCGCGCATCGTAGGGCTCGAGCGCGAGAGCGCTACAGTCTCGTACGCGAGACCCATGAGCCTCTCAGCGCCAGCAGCCCCTGCTCCGTCCCGCGCGGCAGCCGGGCGAACAAGAGAGCAGAAAAACTCCGTAATTTTCAGGGCCGGCTGTATAATCAACGGAACGATGCTCAGAATAAGTAAACATCATTGGCAGAGAGACATACGATCTGGACAAGGTCCTCCGCTGAGGGGTTCTTCGCGCGCTCCTCGAGCTTCATGACCCACTCTTCCAACGGCACGACGGGAAGATTGTCCCCCAGTTCTTGACGCAAGCCATGTAGGACGACGTCCCAGGTTGTCGGGCGCGGGTGTACAACGTTGACAAGCGCAGGGAGCGCGTCTTGCGCGAGCACCCAGTCGACGTACGCCTCCCCGATGGCATCAAGTGGGACCCAAGTGACGGACTTCCAGAACGAAGTGGGTCAGCTGAGACCTTTCAACCGAAAAAGAAAGGATCTAGACATACGCCGCTCAGTGCAGGCAGGCAGCCCAGCACAACGCTCGACTTGGTCAGGAACGGCATCCACTCCGTCGTTCCCCAGGCGCCTGTCTCCTTCGGTCCGCAGACTTGGCCCATGCGTACTGCAGTGGCAGGAACACCTTTTCCCCTTGCAGCACTCAGAATCTATCACAAACGTGTGGCTCAAGTTTATCCAGAAGCAAGAGGCGGCTCTCACTCACATGTTCGACGACGTACTTTGATGCGGCATATCCAGTGCCAGCGGCACTCCCGGGGTTCGACAGGAGTTGTTCGGGAACAGGACCTTCGGCGGGGTTCCACGCGTTCGCGACGCCGATAGACGAAGTGACAAGCAGCCGCAGAGGTCGATCAGTGGCGGCGGCGATGTCTACGAGCTTGCGTACTCCCGCGACCTGATCCTCGAACGATTGCAGCGCAAGTTTGAAGTTCACCGTCCAGGCGTTGTGTATGACATGCGTGGCAGAGGCCAGGATCTGTTCCACCACAAGCACACGTCAGCCCTTGAACGCAAGAAAAGCGTATCGGGAGCACGCACGTCGTTGTACTGCGCCTCATCGAGTCCAAAGCGTTCGTGCGTGACGTCCCCGACGAGCGAGACGAGCCGTGGATCGTCGAGGGCTTTCTCTGGGAGCCCGCGCTCACGGAACGCGGCTGCTAGCCGGCCGTGCGGGTCTGCCGACGGGCGATTCAGCGCGTAAACACGCGCTATGCGCGGCTCTGCGAGCAGGCACGCAAGGATGTGCGAGCCGATGTTGCCTGTCGAACCCGTGAGGAGCACAACCGGTACCGCGCCGACATCCACCGCCTTCCCCGCCCTGGCGCGAGGCATATCTGCAGTGTACTTGGCGATCATCCCCCGGATCTCGTCTGCAGGGCTGCGCTGAGCATCGGCATCGGCAGACTGGTCCACGAGCGCAGCAAGCGCACTTGCGAACTGCTGGATGGAGGGGCGCTCGAAGACTAGGTTTGCGGGGACGTGTTGCGCCGCCCGGCGTACGCGCGGAGTCCCGGAGGCGCGGAGGGCACCGATGATGCGGTTGCGAAAGAAGGTCGCGCTCAGGCTGCAGACGTTCGTCAATTTGTATGCAGCAGTAGGTAGACAAGTCATATCACTTGCCTGTCAAAGCCTTGCTGGAACAGATCGACGGCGAGAGCTATGGGTCGTCCATGCGAAACGAAGCTCTCGGCCTGCTCGGTAAGCCAAGGCTCCAGGTCGGCGGCCTTCCAGGATCTCGGAGGGTTGATACCCTGGCTGTCCGTGCTCGCAGAGATCGTCTCATAGCTAAACACCGCGGTGAGAACCCCGATTACTAGCGCGAGAAAACACCACCCACAGCTGCTCAATTTTCTCCTTGTAGACAGCTAAAGCCTGATTGCGGATGATGGTCCTCTTGGCTGCACGGGGCAGGGGCTTGTCAGGGTCGGTGACGAGAATCATCTCCTTGAAGATCTTCGCAAATCCAGGTACCTGCGCGTTGGCCTCTTCGACGTGCGTCCATATCTTGTTGCGAAACTTGGCGAGTGCGGCCATGTCATTTGGGTCGACGGCATAAGCGGGCTGCGGCTCCACGATGATGCCAGGCTGCTCGCGCTCTCGGCCGAACATTATGCAGCCGCTGACGAGTGGACTCGCGGAAATGTACCCCTCTTGCGATACCGGTACGATCTTCTCGCCTGTTCAACCCGTGTCAAAAGGTGTACGCACGGTTTACACTCAATATGCGTACCGGTGCTCAGGATGATCACATCGTCCTTACGGCCAACACTGGAGGGCGGATTAGCGCGTCGTGCTGGGTAAGATGAGCTACTACACACATTCTCCACAGGTTAGGCTTCGTGGGATGCGGCTCGACGAGGTCAGAGGTCGCGTAAGCCCTTTCACCGGGCACGTTATGCACAGGAAGGTCATAATCATCGGTTTCCTACCACAGACGATCAGCGGCACATACCCCAGGCACAAAAGCCAACTCACATAGACGACGAGCTCGTACGTCCCGTCACCCTGAGGATCCCACTTGATGTTCGGTGCATTCGGTGGTGCATGAAACCACGCCCAGTTGGGGTCTGGCTCATAGCTTATTGCCGGGATCTCGCCCCAAGCCACGTAGGAGTCCCCGATCTCGGTGCTTCCATAGCTGCTATGCAGACGCACACCCATCTGCACAAGCTTGTCTCCGGTGGACACCGCAAGCGGGCCGCCGCCGAACATCTGTAAAGAATGTGAGTGGACTGCAGGCAGGTTGAGAGGGCGCGACACCGACCAGTACGTTGAGGGTCTTCAGATATTCGAGGATCTCCTGGGAGTGTAACCATGCCTTTGAAAGCGGGCTCGGTTTTGTCTGCGGCATATCATTGGTGAACGGAGACGTACATCGATGAAAGAAGGCGGCACAGTCAGTGCGTTGCACTTTGCAAGCTTCGCAACCTCGTAGGCATTCTGTGGGTGCGCGACGACCGGGGGCGCAGGGTACTGCGGGGTGTACACGACGACTTCTGCACCTGTCGCCAATGGATGGATGAGCTGCAGTACTATACCTAAACTATGGAAGCTCGCGAGGCCCATCGTGCCGTAGCGCACGCCGTCCTGGCTGAAATAGTCTGTGGAGAGTCCAGATATAAGCGGTGGGTGACATGCGTATGGGGGTCAGCTAGACGTACCGCGGGCGATCCACTGCAGCATGCGGCGGTGCGTGAAGTGAATGGACTTGGGATAGCCGGTCGAGCCGGAGGAGTGGAGGTACAGCACGGGCGTGCGCACGTCAACCGGCTTGCCCGGCGGCGGATACGGCTGGACCTCGGCGGCTGCTGCGTTGGCATCCCCGCCGAACTTGGGGAACGTCTCTGATAGGCTTGGCAGCTCGTCGACACGAAGCGTGACCCCCTTGGCGTGCATGTCCCTCTGAACCCGTCCGGCCAGAGCGGCGGTTGGGGTGTGAGCAATGATGCGGGTGCATGAAACGGTCTCGAGTATGTGGCACACGCCCTGAGGCGAGTTGCGGGGAGATACCGGGTATGGCTGTGAACGAAAGCATTGTCACGGACGCCGTCTAGCAAGAGATGCATGTGCACACCTACCACGAGGCCCGCGCGTATGAGGCCTACCACGACAGCAATGTAGAGGATAGCATCGGTGTTGACGAGCAAAACAACAACCTCTCCGTCGGGACCTTCCCTATTTGGGCGCATGCGGTGCGCAATGCGGTGGCTCGTCTGCGCCATCTCGTGGTAGGAAATGGACACAAGCTCTTCTGGAGAATCTTTGGAGAGAAACACGAACCATGGATTGTTTGTGTTGTGTGTAGCGTGGAAGTCGACTATCTCAGGGATGGTCAGTAAGGTACTGTCCAGAGGCGATAGACGTGTGTCCATGTTGGGCACTTTGCAGCATCTCGAGGGTCGACATTGTGCCTCTTAAGTACTGAGGCAAACGTCGTGTCGAAGCCTGTTTCGCTATGCAACACTGGCATGCGATTCAATCTAATTGAAATCAATCCAACCTCGGAAAATTTAAAAAAAATTCTTGTTCTCCCTAGGCAATCCTTATCTAATCCGCACCAGTCACCAGCAGCAGAACCGCAAGGGCCCTGAAACATCCTGACGAAGGTTCGTCAGGTCGTGTTAGATCTGCGTCAGGGCGCTCAGGGCGTCTGGAGTCAGCGATCGTGCTGTCAGTCAGTGGGAGGCATGTTCACTGATTCTACCGTTCAGGCTTGCCATCGTATCAAGGTGTACAGAAAGGATCGTTGTATTCATGAAGTTATTTTAGCATAATTACCTATTTTATTCGAATTTTTATTTTGCTTCGGGCCAGGCGCGCTTCCAGTATTGGACGGTTTGCTGGTCGAGTCGGCTCATGCCCGAGGTGGCGTGACATCCGCTGTGGCGCATTCTCACGACAGATATTTTTGGACGTCGATGTTCTCATGGACGACATTGAACGCGGCTGCAGGCTATGTGAATGCGGGCGCTATTAATATTCCTGTCCGGGACGGAAATTCGGCACAGGGTGGCTACTGTACAATGCGCAGTGCGCCCGTTGATGTCGACTCGGATGAGTCGGCTGTGGTACGCGGCAACGCAATGAGTCAGACACTGAAAGCCAGCTGGTGCGAGAGCCTGAAGGCTGAGACAGTCCTACTAACGGGCTCAATTTAACGTCAAACCACAGCCTTGTACGACAACACCATGTACCGGCTGGCGTATAGTAGAAGTGGCTGCCGCGCAGTGGTGGTTTGCTCATTGGTACCCATGCCGGTGATACTCACCGCTTACTTTCTTTCACTGCTACCGCAAGATCTCGGAAGCATGAGTCCACGCCGGTTCCAAAAGTGATGGCATACGATGTCACGGTAATGACCTTCACATGACTGCGTCGGCACCGTAGAAACGAGTTTCTGGACAATCAGGGATAGAAGCTGAGGCGTTGAGGGACAGTCATCTCCTTGACCGCTCATTCTCCCCGGCCTCTCCGAGTCGGAAAGGCTTACGAACTTGCACAAGTGTGGCAGTCCGCGACTTTGCAGCGATAGCTGAGCCGCCGTCCCGTATCGGACTCTGCTTACACACCCCAATAGTACGTGCTAGAGACAGCGAGCCAAGTACGCAGTGCGCACTCGGCCCTGTAGCATGTAGTGAGCGTGCATCAAGCGGGAACAAATACTTCAATATATAAGTGCCAAAAGCCAGTCTTCTTCTGCCATGTAACTACTATGCCCCTTCTTTCCTCCCCTAAGCGGCGTCACGAGCAGTGATAGCAGCTATCACGATGGCTCGCTACTGTCCGATGTATTTGCTTGTTTGCCCAGGTAGTAGATGCATGACTTTGATTATATTCGTTAGGATGTCAAACTTACGGCGATCTCTGACTGCTCGGATAGCCCCCCCCCCCCCCCCCGGGACTAGAGACGACGTCCCGAAGCGGGGACTATCAACGACGTTTCGCAGGAGATGTGCATCTTCCAAGCTGCGCAATGTGAGTCTTGAGAAGAGGAGAGAGAGGTCTGATGACTTCCAACCAGTGTTTGCATACAATGCTAGGCGCAGTAATCCCACGCTTTAAGCGCGAATGTTCGCACCACGAGTTCTCGTACTCGAGAGTTGCGCGATTCTTGCATATGTCAGGGAGGAGTGAGATAGTAGAGAGCGTGGGAGAGCAGCTCGGAAGGGAAGTCAGCTTCTGTGGTATATGGCGTCCTTGCGAAAGGGGACGATAGCGTTTGATCCTATAGCGTGCGAAGGGGCGAGTCTAAGCAGCTGTCCAACTTGAAGGTAGGATATCAGTCCCGCACTAGCCGCGGCAGCTGAGACTGGCCAAGGCAACTGTGGGACTTCGGCCTCATTACCCATCACACAGGGTGGTAAGTGCAGTTTTTTCTTGAGAAAACTCAGGCAAAAGCGGCTAAACAAGGCCCAGTTATTCCTCGATTCTATGTCGATGCAAACTGAGGAAAAACTGGTGCAAAACCAGCCAAAATGGTCTAAAACACAGTAAAACTGGCGGAAAACTGAGTTTTGCCTTCGGTTTTTTTCAGGTGAAAACCGGAGAAAGTTGGGGCCTTGTTCAATCAGTTTTTGGCCAATTTTACGCCGGAAAAAGCGCGCTTACCACCCAGTGACAGGAGCTCATGCGATAGAGTCCACGATGGCCGGCCTACGCTTCCTGGGGTTGAAGTGAGTGGAATGCCTGTCAATACGTGTGTGGCGTGAGATACAACAAGATACTTCAGGATGTCTAAATAAGTTCAAAGCATGTAAAGTGAGTTTCGGAGCGTCGAATGCGATATTCTACAACAGCCAATCTGGCACATAGTCTACTGTACACCAAACGTTCCGAGGAAATATTGCATAGTAGTCATACGGGACTTGTAGAAGTCCGAACTTGATAAAATCATGGCATGTCATCATAGCTGGAAAACGTCGATTCATCCAACTCAGAGGTCGAAAGTATGGCGCCACATATTTCATGAGCCTGTACTGCGCGAAGGCACGACGATTGGCGGTGTCTCGCTAGGCTGCCCAACGGCACTAGGCGTCGCCGCGCCTCGCCTAGACGCCCGTGTGTAGACCGAGCGTGGACTGCCGACGGTAGACGCAGGCAACGGGACGCGCGCGCCGGCGATCGTCGTCTGCGGGCTGTCCGCGACGGTAGACGGCGGTAGCGGCACGCGTGCAGCACTCGACGTGCGCGAGGGCGGGAGCGGGTACGTGATGTCCGGCGGCGTCTCCGCCACCTCGTACGGCGGCGGCGGAACCGGTCTCCTGCGCTGCGGCGGCGTCGTGAACGAGTCCATGGACGAACTCGACATGGAGGACGAGACGGGATCTGAGTTCGACGACGACTCGTCGGACGAATCCTTCTGCAGCGCCGAGCGGCTGTAGCGAGGCGGGCCCGACAGGGGGACCACAACGGGCTCTGTTGACGGTGGGGTGTCGCCTGCGCCGGAGGCGGGTGTATACAGTCCATAGACCGCAGGCGTCTCCCTGGTGACATTTTGGGTAGTGATTTGAGGAGACGGCACCGGAGGTCCAATCGGGATGAATCCAGGAGGGAGCTGCCCGTGAGGAATTGGAATGGGCTGAGGAGATGATTGAGCTTCTGGCACTTGTGAAGGCTGGGGCTGGGCCGGAGAGGATGGTGCCGACGGGTGCTCCGCATCGCTTGCGCTGAGCATGCCTTGCTCGTTTGCCATGAAGCCTGAGCGACCTGACGACGGACGAGACTGAAGTACACAACGATGAGCATGCACAAAACATAGTTGCAGGTCCCAGTACACTCACAGGTGGCTCGACGGTGATGTTGAAGCCAGCGTTTGACGCAATGCTGCCCATCGGGCTGGCTGGGGGTGGTCTCAACTGTCCTCGCGATTGACTACGAGAAGGCGCTCGGCGAGTGCTAGTGCCTGCTGATGAGCTACTCCCCGGCCGTCTGTAGTAATCCTCCTGCGTGCTAAGGGGCATGATTGGAATAGGTGCCTGAGGTGACGGCATCGTGACCGGACTAGGAGTACGAGGGCTCGCCGGACGTACGTACGGTGACTGGGTAGTAAATCAGTAAGATAGTGGAATATACGTCTGTGATACCTACGGCCTCCGCGGATGAAGGTCTCTCCTCAACGATAGCGCTGAGAACATTGGGCCTGTGGGTGGAATTTGCACGAACGGGTGGAGCATTTGGAGGACCGACGATATCAAACTGCGAGAACGTTGTAGACTGGCTGTCACTGGACTTGCGGCGCCTGATAGGCCGTCGGACTGCCTCAGCACCGCTGACAGAGTCGCTGTCCCGAACGGTCTCGACTGTCGCCCTCTGCGACGGAGGTGGGATCATGAGGATGGGCTGTTCAGGCGTCGTAGGCGGAAGGATGTGAGTAGGCGGTGGAGTGTGTGCTGGCGTAAAAGGATTAGGAGACATTTCATGCGGTGGGGGCAGACGAATACGCTGATCTGGATCGACCGACGGTATCCAGCCCTCGGGGGGATAGTCAGCAACCGAGGGTTTAGGTGAAGGTGGAATGTTGTAAATGGGTATAGGATGAATTGCAGGCTGCGGACTTTGTGGAGGGCTCTGTCGCAGGGCTGGTGTCCGAGGAGAGTGCACCACAATCTTCTCTTGCGGAGATGGCGATCGGTCTGACCGTGGCTGATCCTGTTGTGATTGCTCTTGTCGTAGTTCCTGTCGCGACTGTTCTTGCACAGTCGAGTCTGACTCCGAGGGTGCGAAGGTCTGTGTTCTGAAGTCATCGAAAGGAGGGTTATCCGGAGGTGTCGCAGTCCCGCGCTTAAACTCCCGCGCAGGAGGTGGTGGATGGCCACGAGCGCAAGCTTCGCAGCGACCCTCTTCGTAGCCGATAATGCGGCCGCGCGTGATACCCTCCCGGACACCTTCGAGCCTACCTTCGTCCCGCGCAAGCTGAACGATCTTTTCTTCCTTCAGCTTGCGAGCCGTACTCCGGGCCCGAGCTGCCGCCTCCTCAGCATCAAAACGCTGCAGCTCGAGCGCATCGAGCAGCTCTTGAGCTCTTCGAATCTCTCGCTGTGCATTTTCAAGCTGAAGTTTGTAGAGCTCGAGCTCTTCGTGCAAGCGGGAGGCGTTCTGAACCGCGGCCAGCCGCGCCTCGTTCACTTGTTTGAAGCGAAGGACGGCGTCTTCTGCTCGGGCCTCTGCAGCGTCGGCACGGGAGGTCTCGTTGTTGAGTCGCTCAGAGAGGATTTGGAGCATGCTGCGTAGTTGCTTGGCTTCATGCTCCTCGTGTACAAGCAGCTTCACCAGCTCCCGCGAGGCACTTCCCAGAAGACTCTTCTCGTGGTCCTTGCTTGACCGTTTCCCGCGGCTTGAGCGACTTGACTCACTTGAGCGGGGTGGAGAGCGCAGAGGAGATGGAGGAGAATCCGCGCGGGTCATTGTGAGGCCTGAGGTGTACCGTATTCTGATAGCAGCCTGGTCAAGGCGCGCTTTACGCCGCAAGAGGTAGCACACGACCTGCCTGGTATGGTTCAAGAGAGGGATGACACGGAGAGCGAGTCACCAAGTCTAGAAGCATGGATTAGCATCGAAAGTATCATTTTAGGTGACAGACACCCTTGATAATATAGCTCACTGGACAATGGACTTTTGCGCTATTGACCAGCGCTGTGGGCGTCTAGCCGATATTAAGCGCCGTAACAATAAACGAGGCAGACGACGGTTCGACTCTGTGGCACTGCTTTCCTCGAACTCTAGGACACCTCGTAGGAATTCTCAACAGAGCAAATGTCTGCGCTGGCGAGAGTTGCGGGTGTTGTGCTGAGGTGAATGGTGGGGCGCGCGAATATATAGAATGATGCATGCTGCGTGGTGATGTAAACCCGGCCAGATCACCGTTGGCCGCGAGGAGAGCGTCCGAACGCTTATGGCAAAAGAACGCACGAAGGAGAGAAACGTGGAGATCCTGTGGGAGGTCTGGACTGTCCTCGGTCAAATCTTTTAATCGCTTACGCTCCCAGAGTAAGACATTGAGTATTGAATTCAGAGGCTAACCCTGGCCTCGAAATGACCAAGGTACGCCGAAGATGTGGCTCATGAGCTTTGGTTCAGCAGTGTTGTTAACAGTGCGTATCTTCCTCGTCGAAAGAAAGCCGTGTACACCTATGTAAGCCATGATGATGGTGGTAACGGAGAGGACATAATCGAGCCGCAAGCGCCTGAACTTGTCTCATCTCAGAGTCTTAGACGTTTACTTGTGACGACCTTGATTCCTTTTTTTCTTAGAGATTTCGCTTGCCAATATCGCGGCTATGCGAGCCAGCGATGACGAGAGATGGAATGCATATATGTGACAGCGACGTATAACCACGAGATTCTAGCTACGAGTGGGTAGGGGGCTCGAGTGAAGCGGGGTTCATGACAACAAACATGAAAAACATTGCAAAAGATACAGTAGCCGGATAGCCGTACCTAGGTTCCTACACGATGCACAAAACGCTTTGACCCTAGGTCCTACGCAGCGCCTTCCTGAAGTGCCGCTGATCTTCAGGCGACATGCTCGCGCTGACCGCATTGCGAACCTCGATCGTTCGGACACGTTGGCTGCGTGCTAGCAGAAAGTCTTCGAGTTCAAGCAGATCTGTCTTCATGAGGTACCAGAGGCTGTCCGGCGGGCGGTAGCCTTTGTAGTAAAAGTCGAGTTCCAGAACGACGGTGTGCAGCGATGGCGTCCGGTCCGACAGTGCCTAGGGAAACGTCGTGACGTAGGCTATTGCGCGTCTGTTCCAGGAAGCTCGCAACAGGCCCCATATGTATGCATGAAAGACAAGGAAAGTCTGCTTTCCGCACGTCGCGTAGACTGGCGCTCATGACGGGGTGGAGGTAATCAAACAGCGAAGTGTCCTTGAAGGCCACAGAACCCGAGAAGCTAATGGTCAGCGATGCATTGACGTTGTCGTGTTTACTCCAGCGGACCAGCGAAAGAAACTCCACTGGAATATCAGAGAGTCCACCTCGCCAAAGAGCCGAAGCAGCTGGACCCAAGGTCGTCGATCCAGGGTCCGGGAGCCTCGTAGTGTTGTGCAAGTCTCAGGACATTGAAGTGCGAAAAATCGGGACGATCGAGAGACGACAGTTGCGCAACATTGACGGGGTGCAGCGGCACGCCCTCGAAACGAAGTCATTCTAAGTGCTGAAGATCTCGCAAGAGCCCAACGGCAGTGTCGTAGCCCCGGCCCTGGTCTGAGCTCACCAACTTGAAGCGACGTCTCACAGAAGGGCGATGGACGGCCGTACTTTCAGGAACACCACCAGATTTCACAACGTCGGCCCCTCCGGTTTGTCGTCTGCTCCGCCACTGGCATCTATCTCCCGTTGATAATAGCGGTAGGCGATTTTCTTGAACAGGTATTGGCGCGAAAGATCCGCCCAACTACGGGCAACTAATGAGCATGCAAACGAGAAGACTTGTCTACGTCTTTAAATATGGCGTCGATAATCTTCGAAGGGACATGTCGCGAACCCGAAGCTATCTTCCCTGGCCGTAACTTCCTAGTTAGCTGGATAGCCAATTTAAGGCGCATAGGGATCTCTCACCTTCTAGTGAGTTTATTATCTTGCTTTCAATTTATCCATTAGAACAAAAAAGCCGGATGATAAGCTGGGGGGACTGCGAGGGATGATGGTAGTCGACAGACAACCTATTCTAGTGCAAGCGCCTGTCCATTCCCTTGCTTCGCATCGGTCGCGGCCACGCTCAATTGTCCTTGGGCTGCATGAAACTCACGATGGCCCGAAAAGAATACAGATGTGATGAACAGGTGCATTCGCCATCTACATATCGCGCAGACACCCGAAAGTTTTGTCTCAGAGGGTTAAGTTCTGTTGGAGGCGATGGCCTTCTATAGGCGTGCTCAATTCTACATGGATGGGATGGGATGGGATGGTTTCGAGCCAGCACACGGTGGCTGTGGCTTTCCCGTTGATGGCGTAGATTAGCCGTGAGACATGAATCAGAAATAGATCTGTTCCTAACCCGCCATCCCGCCCTCGAGTCCCGCCTGCTTCCAAAACAAGTAAGTCTATTTGTACGAGACAAATAGAGGACGGGGGGCAGTTTGCTCAAGGCGCTGTATATTCTGCAACGGAGAGAGAAGAAAGTGGATTTCTTGAGGCAGGTATACACCACAGCAAGCCAGTGCTTCTTTTCGCTGCGCAATACTCAGGCGCCATCGACCACTCCAGTGCAGTTGTAGACTTTGACCGAGTGAGCCTCTCAAAGCTGTTATCCCACAAGCAAACAACAACCCCATGTTCCGCAAAATCCAAGTAATATGCTCAGAGTCAAGTTATGCCATGGGAGTTATGCAAAATTAGTGAGTCACGTCAGGAGTGTCTGCACTGCGCTTGCGAAAGCAGACGCACGCTGACCTGCTGGTCAAGCACCTGGTGGCCAACTCCCTGGTACAGCGCCCGGCTCTGTCTCCAGCGTAGAGTGCGCTAGGATACGGGCCATATACTGGGACCTGTGCCAAAAATTCCTGTTGAGCCAAGCAAATATCTTCCCGAACCAATTGGTGTATTCAGCATGTGGTTGTAAGGCCATAATACTTATTAGCAAGTGAGCTGAAGAGTTACATGATTTCGTATGAAGGCTTGAATGTTATTGGGGTCAACACTCGAGGTTCTTGAAATCACTGCTGTCATCACGAGCCCTCGCG